CTTTCTCTTCTTCCATTTGTTTCCTTGGCCTTACTTTATTTTTGCACCAGGGACATCCTCGCCTCCCTTTGTTCCCTGGAACCGAGGCGCTATTGTTGCCTTTATTGCTTGTCCGGACACTCACAGGCCTATATGAAGAGGTTAACTGTTTCCTGTTCTGAACATCTAAAAGAGGGGAAACGTTTGAGCCTCATTCTGTAGATTTTCCTTCCTGAAGAACCGCATGAATATCATGTCAGAGTTATTTCTGCGGCCTGAGTGCCATTCGCTACGCCGTTGACATCTGAAACAATTTATAGCACTCATGTGTTTGCCATGTGGAGCTGATAAAGAACGTAGCTTTCATCACCCTTAGTCCAACAACCTCCCCTCCAGTTTTCCACTGTCTTCCACCAACAGTTTAGCTATTAATTACTGCCACTAATGATTTTCACAGCCTCATCTTTTGGCTGCATAATTTCACCAAGAGTATGGTCCCTCCAGAAGAAACTTGTGGATTGGCTGTTGTAAGGTAATTTTATTAGTTTTCAGAAGAGATTGGGAGAGTGTGGTTCGGCATCATGGAAAGACTACATTCCCAGCCAGAAACAGAAATATGGTAGAGAAGCAGCCTTTTGCTTTCGTTCTCAGTTGAAAACACCTCACAACTCATGAGCTCACTTTAGCTTTCACTTTTTTTAACTCTTTTTGTACTTCGTGCATGTACTTTATAAATCCCTGTTCACATTCATTTAATTGCTCTATTTGCTTCATTTAAAATACAGTTCTGATGCAAGCAACTGAAACTGTCTCAGCCGCACATTGTGGTTTTCATAGGAATTCCCCCCTGAGGTGCATCGGAATGGCACCAGAGTTTGATTTCAGAGATGGACCTGGAAGGAGGTGCTTGCAGGCCACAACGGCCATTTTAACAAACGCTAATATACAACATGTGTGCCTCCCATAAATGGTAGAGTCCACTGTTCATTGTAATGCACTGTAAATACACACAAGCGTGAAGGGATGGGCAGTGAATGGTCAGGGGGAAGCATTGGGCTGGTCATTAGGGGATGATACAGTGGGGTAAGCGACAGAAAATGAGGGTGTAAAGTTACTGTGGGGTAACTGGGGGGCGCATTAGTTGTGGGATTTCTACAGGGGTTAATTTTAGTCAAGGGCACACGGGGAGATCACGCGTGTCACAGCGAGTTATTATGACCGTGAGAGTGGATTTTATTAATAGGTCAGTTAGGAGACACAACAGCAACAGAACACAAAACCATTGCAACTGAGCTGATGCCAGACACAAAAGTCACTTCTGGGCTTTGTTAACCTTTGTCTTTTTCTCTTCTGTATTTTGAAATTTACTAAATTTTGTCTTCTTCTCTTCTGTATTTTGAATTGTACAAAATTTTGTCCTCTGCATTTTACTAAATTTTAAGTCTTTTTCTGTTGTGTTTTGTATTTCACAAATTTTATATTGCCTTTCTATTCTGTATTTTTATACTTTATTCAATTTTATTTTCTTTATCTCTTTTACATTTCACTCATTTTTTCATCTGTATTTTCTATTTTATGAAATGTCTTCTGTACTTTGTATTTTGTTGAATTTTACTTTTTCTATTCCATTTTTATGTTACACTACATTTTTATTGCCTTTCCGTTCTGTATTTTACTCAATTTTATTGTCTTTCACTCTTGTACTTCACATTTTACTAAATTTTGTCTTCTTCTCATCTGTAGTTTTCTATTTTACGAAATGTATTCTTTTTCTTTTCTGTATTTGGTATTTTACTCTTTTATCTTTATCTTATTTCAGCCTTTTTTACTTTACCTTTCTTTTTACTCTCCTTTCCCTCTTACATTCCTTGTTTACTTTGCAAATTGTTCATAATTTCTAATCGGTCTGCAAAATACTCTGTAAACTATTTTCTTAATGGTGCTACACAAACATTTAAAATGTATCACGGCACTAAAGCAGCCGGCACAGGAAATAAAGATGGTAATTCACACATGCTGGAGTAGTGAAGAAAGATAACCTGTAGACATTCATGCAGGAATGTCAGATTAGAGACTTCCTAAAGTCGGTGAGTTCACTGTTATGTCCCACAATAATGTTTAATCAGTGAGTATTTCAGCGAGTTAGACAGTAAAAGATCAGTGGTCAACTACAAACACATAACTCAGGACGCAGCCAGAGAAGAAGTTTGTTTACCTTAGCCAAAAGAAGAGAAGTTTGGTCGAGAGTGATAAACACACACACACACACACAGCCACACACACTCGCTGGAGTAGGGGTCCCAGAGACTGTGGTGGGGAACAATAGGGAGCTTTTTATACAGAGTGGCTGGTGGCAGCTACGGCACACGGCCACGGGCGGATTAACAACGAACGCTGGGACAGAAAGACGACCACCACTGGGGATTAAGAGAGACAGAAGCGCTGACCTCACCCAACAAACGGAGGGATAAAAAAAGAGAGGGAAACAACAAAGGGAAGCGAGGAGGACAAAAATAGAGCAGGGATTTAACAGCAAACCCTTCTCAGAATCCATACTTTAAGTTTTCACTATAAAGTCAAATAAAACCAACTGTTCTACTGCGGAACACATTCAAGAACGGTGTCTATGGGTGAGAACATTTTGGAACAGTAAATGGGAGTAGAACATTCTATATCACTGGTCCTGTAGTACCCCTTGCACTGCACTCCCAGCACAGCTTATCCAACTAAGCAGTTAATGAACAAGCCCTTCCTGAGCTGAAGTGGGTGATTTAGAGCAGGAAAACACTCAACTGTGCAGGGCAGACGGGACTCCAGAACCAGGAGTGGTGAACAAGTAAACGGGTGTAACACATTGTACAAAAGTGTTAAAGCGGGGACATTTCAGAACAGTGATAATGGGGGAGAACATTAAGAACGAATGAGGACGACTGTAAATGCAGTAAAAGAACATTTAAGAACATTGGGCCTCATTTATCAATATCTTCCTAAGTTTATTCTTAAATTTGTTCTTGAGAAAGGTTCTGAGAAAAAGATTACATTAGAGGATTCATGACGTGTTCTTAAACCATAGAACTGTTCACACCTTTGTGCTCATGAGTGTGCATAGATTCTGATCTTAACTAAGAGCAAATCCCAATTAGAAAACAGTGGTGAATGTCAGAATTTTCATGAAAACTGTGTAAGTGGGTTTTAAGACAAAAATTTTCTGCTTAAGAATGGCTGGTGAATGAGGCCTGGTAGTATGAACATTTAAGACAGGATGAATGGGGAAGAATATTCTAGAACAGGTTTGGGTTTGTTTGTATTTGTTGGAGAATGTTTGGGTTTGTGATAGTTTATTGGGGAACATTTGAGTTTGTTGGTGTCGAACATTTATGATTGCTGGTTTGCTGGAGAACATCTGAGTTTGCTGGAGAATGTGTGGATTTGTATGCACAACTCAATTTCCAAAAAAAAAGCTGGGACGCTGTGCAAAATGTAAATAAAAACAAAATGCAATGATGTACAAATCATTTAAACCCTATATTTAATTGAAAATAGTACAAAGACAACATATCAATTGTTGAAAGTGAGAAATGGTATTGTTTTTTGAAAAATATATGCCCATTTTTAATTTGATGCCAACAACACGTGTGGTGGTTGACTGGCGACAGGAGAGTAACATGACTGGGTATAAAAAGAGCATCCCAGAGAGGCTGAGCCTTTCAGAAGTAAAGATGAGGAGGGGTTCACCACTCGGTGAAAGACTGCATGACCAAATAGTGCAACAATTCAAGAATAATGTTTCTCAACATAAAATAGCAAAGAACATTTGCTTTTCATCATCTACAGTACAGAATAACATTAAAAGATAAGAATATTAAAAGAGAATCTGGAGAAATCTCTGTATGTAAGGGACAAGGTCAAAAACCAATATTTGCTGGCCGTGATCTTTGGGCCCTCAGGCAGCACTGCATTAAAAACAGATATGATTCTGTAGTGGAAATCACTGCATGGGCTCAGAAACACTTCTGAAAACCACCATCTGTGAGAACAGTTCATCGCTGCATCCACAAATGCAAGTTAAAACTCTAAAATGCAAAGAAGAAGGCATATATAATCCAGAAACGCTGCCACCTTCTCTGGGCCTCTCAAACCACTCAGCTTGTTATCAGTGCACAGTCAAAAGTTAGTATTCATGATGGTATAGGGGTGCATTAGTGCATATGGCATGGGTGACTGGCACATCTGTGAAGGCACCATTTATGCTGAAGGATATATACCTGTTTTGGCAACATATGCTGCCATCCAGATGACGTCTTTCTCAGGGAAGGCCTTGATTATTTCAGCAAGACAATGCCAAACCACGTTCTGCATGTATTACAGAAATATTGCTCCGTATTCAAAGAGTCCAGGTGCTAAACTGGCCTGCCTGCAGTCCAGACCTGTCACCACTGAAAACATTTGGTGCATTATGAAATGAAAAATATAACAAAAGAGACCCTGAACTGTTGAGTAGCTGAAATCCTGTATCAAACAAGAATGGAAAACAGTTCACTTTCAATACTACAGCAATTGGTCACCTCAGTTCCCAAACGCTTACAAGTTACTTACAAGTGTTGTTAAAAGAAGAGGTGATGAAACACAGTGGAAAATATGCCTCTGTGTTTGTGGGAAAAATGTTTATACAGTGAGCTGTATTCTCTCTAAATTTCAAACAAGCATTGATACTGTGATGCTAATATTTAACCAGTGCAGCCAAGCACAGCTGCCTTGAGTAATTAATTAATTTTTCCCAGGAAATTCCCAGAGAGACAGAGGAGTTCATGCAGGATGTCCAGGGGGCTTTACATGGTTAATGATAAACAATGGGCCATGAATCATCCTACCAGTAACCAGGAAACACATTGCATCTGTGACTATCTTTTTAAACCCACAGTCACTTTAATGTTCTGGTTACTTTTTGTGTTCACCACCCCTTTCGTTTTTGTTTTCTATGAATGACTAATCTGATTGGAAAACAATCACATACCACATGGTCTTGGTACAAAAAAAATAAATGTTTTATTGAAAATAAATATCATTTCAGTAATTTTAGGGAGATAGCACTGGCATGGTCACCGTAAGGACCTGTAAGAGAGCAAAGGGGAGGACAGTGTGAGTGCTTATTCTTCACTTAGTCTTCCATATAAAAGCAGTAATAGATAACAGATTCAGTGAGGGAGGCGGAATTGTTTTGATCAGGAATAGAGCAGCTTCCTTCAGAAGGGTTTTCCAGTGTTAATGATACACCGCAATATAAAACTCAATGATTATCATACTCTTTCAAGTTTTATGATTCTGATAACCATGTACAAATACCATCACCTGCAAAGCATACACAAGGACAACACATGATTACATAGTCAACTCCAGAATAATTGGCACCTCTTGAGAGACTAAAAGAATCCTAAAATAAACACATATAACAATTTAAATGTTCCTCAAATATGTTAGAGAAATGACCTTTTATCCAATAGAAATTATTCCCACAAGAGTGTTGTTTTATTTTGAGAATAGTGGCAGAGGGGATTATTTTTAATAAAACCAAAGACATTTCCATCTTTGGGGACAAAAAAAATATTGCTCCTAGTCTTCATTGTCTGGCTCCATTGTTGTCCTATGAGCTGTTGTCCTATTTCCCTGAGGTATAAATGAGGTTACACATCTAAAATGCTTTTGTTATCCATCAACATGGGTAAAACCAAAGAGCTGTCCACTCAGATGAGACATAAGTTTGTGGACCTGCCCAGAAAAGAAAATGTTACTTAAAAAAAAGTAGTCAGTTGAAATTACGATTAAACATAAACAGCACAATAATAAAAAAAGTTTGAAAAGCATGGAACGGTTGAAATTTTGACAGGAAGTGGTCGCATGAGCACACCGACCCCACAAACGGGGTGGAGAACTATAAGAAAGGAACACAAAGATAATAGTTTTAGAGGTGCACAGCTTAGTTGAATCTTGGGGCTTTCAAATTCCAAAATCCACTGTCCGACACCACCTCCTTCACCAGAAGTTTCTTCAAAGAGTTCTGTGAAAGGAGCTTTTCGAAAGAGCAAGCCACAAAATGCAGCGCCTGAACTTTGCAGAATGTCAGTGGCACTACAAATCATGTGATGTGGTCAGATAAGGCAAAATTAATCTTTTTTGCTTTTTCTTGCTCATGCACAACCCGCTGTTACATACAGTGATTTGTCTTTGATGCTTTGGGGCTGTTTTGCTGTTAGTGGTTCCGGGGGCTCTTGTGAAAATCAATGGCATAATGAATTCCATTAAATATCAGTAGATTTCAGCCCAAAATATGTCTGCTCCTTCCAGAAGGCTGTGGGTGGACCTTTCAGCAGGATAATGACCCAAAACACATATTAAAACCCACCCTGAAATGACTGTGATAACACAAATATAAACCCTTTCAGGCCTCATCTGGATATTTTTGAAAACATTGTTTTTCACTGTTTTTAAAAAACTGAGACTTTTGAAAACTCCATTTTCAGTGTTTTTGTGTGGACAGGCAAATCACAGTTTTAAAATGCTAACATCGCACTGTTAACTTGCGCATGTCCATAGCTGCTTTTCATTTATTGAGCATTAGAACTGTGCCTGAAATATGGCTGGTGACTGGGTTGTGTTTGCAGGCTCAGAGAGAAACATGTGGAAGAAATTAGACAACAAAACATGTTGTACTGGGTAGGACTGTTGACATAAGGTAATAACTGGTCAATAATTAGAGAACATAGCCCCTAATTCTGATGAAATACAGGAGTGGAAATGAATGGACATTATGAAATGACCTGTGTGTTGGTGTTGTACTGGGCAGCACTGTTCTCTTGGTCAATAAGGAAGGGAAAGAAAATATCCAGGTGGAAGAGAGAGGGCCGAGCGTTCAGCACCAGCCTGTCCTCTCCCAAATCCAGCAAGAGAGAGCGGGCAGAAGACTGAGAGAGAGAAAGAGAGGGAGAGAGCATAAACAATCAGAGAGCGATCAGCCACTTTCATAAACAGCTTACACAACCTACATTAACTAACTAACTACTAACAGAGACGGTCTGTATTTCTGAAGAATGGGCCATCACTCACCACTCCAGGCAGCTGGATCTCAGCTATTAGAAACTCTGCGACCCCAACAGGGGGCTCCACCCATAAGCCAAACTGTGGGCTGACAAGAAAGAAAGAAAGGAACTTTATTTATCTCGATAGAAACTGCAGGCTTCCAAAAACTGACTGTGCAAAACAGAAAGGAAGCTCTGTGAAGGTAAAAGCCTGGGCAAAGCCTCAAATGACAAACTTAAGGCTGAGCTGGCATGTAAAGATGAAGTGTCTTCTGAATTTTACTTTGTCTATCAAGACTGACAGTTTGATATGGTCAAGACGTCATGTCTCACACCCGTTTTCAGTACAGCCACTGCTGAGGACACCCCTGACTCTCCATTAGTGCTAGGCTACCCCTGGCTCTCTCAACACCATCCTGTCCTTTCGAGCTTGTATGGAGCTTGTGTTGCCATAGTCACTGTTTATCAGTTCCTTGCCGCTACACTAACACTGAGAGCCTGCTATGCAGTGAGGTCATTACGATTCCTTCTGATTGCAAAGATCTATCAGATGTTTTTGGGAAATCTAGAGCAGCACAACTCTCTCTCACTCCACTTCCCCAGCCCCTTGACAGTCAAAGGCATGTGAAACTTGGGGCAATGTGTTTTCCACAAAGAAACTCTCCTTTTTCTGGGATACATACTTGCACTTCTCTGTGACTGAGTATGTACCCACAAGTATGTGGGCACCTGTTCTCCAATTGATACACACTTCCCTAAGCTCTGAACATCCAGGCATCCAATGTACCATATCTCTGATAAGGAAGAACTTTTGACAGCTCTCTCTAAAACAAGATGTGTCTGACAATGTCAAAGCTAGTAAGCTTTTCCACACCACCCTGGTCACATTTATCGCTAGGTTTTATTACTGATCTACCTAACTCACAAGGCTTCACAACTGTCTTTGTCATTATCGACAGGTTTTCGAAGGCTTGCTGGCTCGTACCTTTAACTAAACTGCCCATCGCTATGGAAACAGCAGATACCATCTTTGGGGAGGTCTTCCGCTGTTTCAGGCTTCCGGAGGACACGGTATCCGATAGAGGTACACAGATAACCTCCCAAGTCTGGCATCTGGTTACCACCCGCAATCTAATGGATAAGCTGAACGCCTAAACTAGGAGGTGGGCAGGTTTTTGAGGTACTTACTGTAATTATTCTTAGCAATACTAGAACTGCATTTACCCTGGGCAGAATATGCCCAAATCTCCCTCATCAGCATCTCTACCGGTCTTACACCTTTTCAGTGTATGCTTGGTTACCACCCCGTCCTTGTCCCTGGTCAGGTGAACAGTCAGAATTGCTTGCTTGAGTGAACAAGCCTGGGAAGCAGCACATGTTCGTCTACAAAGGGTCATCAGACGTCAGAAAATTTAGGCTGACAAGTGTCGTCTTCAGAGCCCACTTTTTTTAACAGGGACAGCTGGTATGGCTCTCTACTAGGGACCCATGTCTGCGACTCCCCACTAAAAATCTGAGTCACCGCTTTATAGGTCCCTTTACAATCCTCAAACAGTTGCCCCTGAGGCTGTTCCCATGACAACTCATTTCTCTGACTTGTTTCTCCTTCCACTAATTACCTCTCCTATAAACGCCTCTCTCCAAACACCACATCTTTGCAAAGCACTGCCAGTTGTTCTTACTTTGCAATCCTGAGCCTTCTCTTTGGCTGCTGCTGTCTTTTTCTTGGGACTTTGATGTTCTTGCTTGTTTTGCCTGGGTTTTGCTGCTCTGAGTTTTTAATACTTTCGCGTGCTATGTTCTTAATTCACTGTGACCCCTGCCTCTTCACAGACTCTGCCTTTTGGACTGTGGTTTTCCTGCATATCGTGCCTTGTAATAAACCTACAAATGGATCTGCCTATGCCTCCTGTCTCAGTTCTTTAGTGTGGCTATCACAAGTGCCACTAGAGTCAGTTTAGGAGGACAGTGTTTTAAGTGCTCTTAAATATGTTTAAGCATTATTAAGTATGTCTGTGTACTTTGTTAGTTCCCTTTCACCCTCTCCTTCAAAGGTCAGCACATGACCCCACAGGACCACCACTAGTAGGTATTATTTGGGTGGTGGATCATTCTCAGCACGACAGTGATACTGATATGTTAGTGTGTGTTGTGCTGGTACAAATGGATCAGACACAGCAGTGCTGCTAGAGTTTTTAAACACTTTGTCCACTCACTGTCCACTTTATTGGACACACCAACCTTGTTGGTCCACCTTGTAGATGTAAAGTCAGAGACAGTAGCTCATCTATTACCACACAGTTTGTGCTGGTCATCCTCTCGTCCTTCAACAGTGGTCACAGGACGCTGCCTGCAGGACACTGTTAGCTCAACATTTTTGTTGGTGGACTATTCTCAGTCCAGCAGTCCAACGTCTGACCACCACCAAAATAATACCTGCGCTGTGGCTGTCCTGGGGGGTGGGGGGTGGGGGGTCCTGACCACTGAAGAACAGGGTAAAAGGGGGCTAACAAAGTATGCAGAGAAACAGATGGACTACAGTCTGTAACTGTAGAACTACAAAGTGCACCTATATAGTAAGTGGAGCTGATAAAATGGACAATGAGCGAAGAAACAAGGAGGTGTACCTAATTAGGTGGCCGGTCAGGGTGTGTGTGTGTGTATGACAGGCACTTCATTAAGCACCTCCTTGTTTCTGCACTCATTGTCCCTTTTATCAGCTCTACTTACCATATAGGAGCACTTTGTAGTTCCACAATTACAGACTCCAGTTTGGCTAATATACAATAGTCCCATAAAGTATTTGGACACTTAAAATATATATATTTTAAGTTCAATGTGTTCAGAAACAAAAAAGGGGCATTTATGTCAAACAGATCATTCCAAGACTTTCTTTTTTGGGAAAGTACAGTACTGTGCAAAAGTCAGAGAGCACCTTTCATTTATTTAATTTCCAGTCAAAGCAGCCATTAAGTACTAGTTATTCAATTTTCAACGTGAGGAAGGAACGCAGAAAACATATTTAACAGAAAATTACACAGAAGCCTCAACAACTATATATGTTTTTTTTCAGTATTCAGTGAATAATAAAGGTAAAGCGTTACCTTTATTATGGCTTCCATTCTACTCAGGGGACATGCTTTCAGTTTTGCAAAAACAACGACAGGGCTATTTTTCCACACCTCCAAAGTTCAGTGTTAGAAGTTGGTTGATCATCTTCTGAAGTAATCAAACCCATTTAGTGATGTTGAGGTCTGGACTCTGGGGTGGACAGTCTATTGTTCAGCTTCTTTGTTTGATGTGTCCGTCTCCTTTTCTCAGTGAGGCTTCCTGACAGCTACACATCCTTTCAGACCCATAGTGCTGAGTTGTGCTCTCACAGTGGAAGGATGGACAGAAACACCTGTGGAGGTTTTCAGATCTGAAGCAGCTTGATTTTCTCATCTCTCTCAAAGATGAAAGCTTTAAGTGCTGTTAATCGGAGGGGACAGTTTCAGTGTCTACCAGGTCTTTTAGGAGGCCCATTTTCTATATATTTTTGGAATTCCAGTTTTGAAAAAACTTGTATTCCCTTCGATTACCCCCTTTATAATGCACATGGAAAAAAAACCTGTACTTAACAAATGTAAATTAAATAAATAAAGGCTTGCCTCTGACTTTGTAAGGGTACATACAGTTATCTTTTGAGCAGTGTTTTGCAGGCTTCTGTAGGCATGAAAAATTCCTTTCTATACCTCTGTCTTCATGATGCCATCAGTGAAGACAAGGTCTCTGACAACACAAAGAAAAACAGCCCCAGACTTTGAGGTTATCTTCTCTGTCTGTTACAGAACCCTTAGTACCAGTATTCTGGTTGGAATTCTTCTCCAGGCTTTCTCCAAAGAGCCTACCATCAGTCTGATGTTGTGCTAAAAGTGTTTTTCTCTGAAATAAATCTAAAGAACCTAAAGAACTTCATTACGGTTTACCAAGGGTGGGACGGTCAAAGTGTCAAACTTTCTGGGGCCACTGTAAATGATTTGGTGTGTGAAATGTAAGAGCCAGAATGAGGAGTGGGACAACCAAACCCATGTTCCCTTACACTGGCGGTGGCTGTCCGCAGGTTCTCAAATCAAATTATGATGAATGCAGTTGTTCAGTGTCATAGAAATACTGACTTTGCCCATGATATTCTCAGAAAAGGATGTTGCGACAGTTTATCATATTGCCCATCCCTAGTTGATGCAGAAGTGAAAGTGGAAAGTTTGCAAGCAGCATCAACATAAACATTTGCCTACACAGCTCCTTTTCAGATGCATTACAGCTATAAATAATGTGCACACAAGAAGAGCCTGCAGGTTTACCCACTTCCACAATATAGTACATGACCACATTGACATAAACTCACCCTTTGGCTGTGGAGTTCTGCAGCTGGAGCTCCCTGTTCAGAAAACAAACATTTACAATTTATAATTACAGCACTGCCTATAACCGCACACAGAGTTACTGAATGCCTGAATACTGAATTACACTGTGCACAAAGAAGGAAACAAGATCAGATACCATGAGGTTTACTCACAACGAAATAACAAAACAGGGATTAATCTTGGAGACAGTGCTGAAATGTCAGGAATGCAAAAAGACAAGGATACGGTGACAGAGGTATAGGCCTGTGAAGTAACATCTCCAGCAGAAAACAACAACAATTACCACATCAACTATCAGTGGCCACATCTAAATACTGTGCCAGAGCCCATGTTGAATCTTGAATGGAATGATATAAATGCCCCCACTGCTTTTCAGTGATAACACCCTGCAGAGCTTGAAGTGCTTTTCAAATTTTGTGTTGGACCCATTTAGTACTGTGCAAAAGTCTTAGGCACCTAAGCACAGTATTTAAAACCATTCACCTGTGCAGTAAGTATGCTTTTGCTTGGAAAAGCACCATAAATATCATTAGAATAGATGCACTCAAACGTAACTACTGTAAAGAGTAACTTCCCTTTTTCCAAATTAGCAGCTATAGATATCGATCGATATGTAGAAATATATAGATAGATAGATCACTTTATTAATCTCAGAGGGAAAGTCATCTATTACAGCAGCACAAATTACAGTAAAGAGAAAAAAATATTGCCATTTGTTATTATGCAGATGCATAAGTAGAAGAAGTAAATATATATAATTAAATATACTAAAACAACCATAAAAATATAAATGTGCAGTACAAATAAGTAAGTAAAATCGCATACATATTATGCAGGTGACAATGCAGTAGTGTATGCCACATTGAGTGAAACAACAAGCAGAAACACGCAACCCGAGTGACTCTGCACTGTAAACAATAACATACAGTTGTGCAATATGTATGGGCGTATAGACAAGTGGCAGTGCAGAGCAAAATGAGTGGAAAGATATAATGTCCAGCTGGTGCTCACTGAGCCTGTCCTGTGGCTATATTTTTGAACTAGTTAGAAGAAAAACACTAGTTAGAAGAAAAAATCTGGTGTCCAGATTTGCTACATTCCATTACCAGCACACTTGACCTAATGTACTAAAGCACTGATCAGTCAAACCATGTACTGAATGAGAGCGACAAACATTATCAAGGAGAGGGATTACTACTTATTAGATTAATGTTATTGGTATTTATTGTAATATTAGTGCTCTTCCAAACAAATAAACACATACTGCACAGACAAATAGTTAATTTCTGTTCATTTTAAACCTAATTTTCTCAGGTGCCTTTTGTACAGTAGTGTGATCATGTGTTGACTACAAAAAGCTGAAAAGCCACAGCTACATCACAGCTGAACTTCAGCTTCCGTCCTTCATCTTCCACAAAAAGATTGTGCTGCTAGCAGCTTTTAGTCATAGACCCTGGTCACTTCATGGGATTGTATTCTGATTGTATTCAGACATGCATCTACACTCGGCAGTCAAACGTGTCTTTGGTTAGTCTAACTGAAATCCGCTTGCTGTTTGCAGTAACATGCAATCATCTCAGAAAATAACCAATTGCCTGTGCTCGTCCTCGTTTGTAGTTCTTTCTGTTCTATGCAATTAATTGCTGATGACATCAAAGTTGTAATTCTGCATATTATTGTGGATATTAAATGCGGCTTTTAAAACCGGCTGTATTCACACTTAGAGGTGCGCATTATTAAAGGATTGTATCATTTAGGGTAATAAATTTTGTTATCTTGATAAGTAGTATGCAATTTTGAGCATACTGTGGATATCATCAGTACTTACAGAATACTAACTGCATGTATCATTACCAAAACAGCATACTTAAGTCCAGTTTTTATTCAGCTTTAGAGCATCAGAGTATCTGAAACACTGAATGAAAATCAGTTTTTAGATGTGGCACTGTGTCTGTGTGTCAAAATATCAAGCTACGTATTGTGAATCATGAATATGTCTTCAAACATTGTGATATGAGGTATTTTTGCCACATCGCCCACCCCTGTTTACACATTTATAACATCTGTCTCAAACCACAACCTGAAGTAGTTTGAGCGACCACATTTTAATCAGTTTTAAAATGCATCTTGGCTGCAATTACACCTATTTTTAATGTTTTACTCATTTTCCACAAATAATACTGATACTCGAAGTGCATGAAATAACTAGGCATAAATGGGGTTACAATGTTTTCAAAACCTCTACACCCTTGGCAGGTTTAAAACACCAAAACTGGTCCCTCAAGGGCTACTGCTGACACTAGCTGCCAACTGTCACACAGAGACAATGTCATATTTTAAATAACTGCTTAATTAAATTGTTAATGGTTTGTATTCAGCATGGCAAAAAATAGGGCACTTTCAAACCTCGTTTTTCTTTAGTTTGGTTAATTCTGACAGGTGTAAACTCTCCACTCGTACTAGGGTTCAGATATTGCAGGGTTTGGGTTATTTCCAAGTAAACCCTGGTTCAGTTTGTTGCTGGTAGGAGAGCGTTTTTAAAATGGCCCACACAAAACTAGGCAAATCAACGTCAGTGTAGGTTTTCTGCGTCTTCTAGCAGCACATCAGCGCTGTACTATAAGCGTGGCCTGCCAGTTTTAACATATGGATCTTTATAGACGCTCATGCCATTCCTGCAGCATGAGCTACTGCTAATGACAACAGACAAGCAATAAAATAACAGTGAAGACATGCCTTTGATTTTGGTATATGATGCACTTCAGCCATTGCAGTGTAAAAACAACTGAACCAAAAGAAAAAGATACAATGTCACAAAAACCTAAATCCCGATTTGGACTTAAAACAAAAAAACTAGCCTTACAATACCATTCGCCAAACGTGTAGTCTCATCTTCAGAGTCTGACCAAATCGGACTGAGCTGTAAAACTGCCGCAATATCAAGTTTAGCTTAGTTTTGTCGATTTTTGCCAGATCAATATTTATGTTTTGTTCCAACCAGTCTATACAGCATCTTACAGCCCGTTTTGTTTGGTGAATGGTATTGGGTTCATTTCTGGCCAATTCCAGGTTGTTTAGCTGTTCTTCTGTCACAGCTGCCGACTGAAAATCTGCTCAATGGTGATGACAGTTTGGGAATTTAGTCTAGTCTCATCTTCAGAGTCTGACCAAATCGGCTGTCGGTCAAATGTGATCTTAAAAGTGTCCATTTTCTGTTTGTGGCAAAATAAAAAGTAAAAATGTTAAAATGGCTTGAGCGTCTCCTACAGCTGTCAAAGTCGTGGCGAAATTACGACTCCTGGTTCCTATCACCACCACAGTAAAGAAATCTGAGATGGTAAGTTTCTCTTCAATTAACTATTTCACGTCAAACCACTTGGAATGAATGTTTACATCTCACATTAAAGTGGCAAGTGTCTCTTCAATGTAAATAAACCAAATTGTATATATTATTTAACTTGGGCGATATAGAAATCATTTACAAATGTGGACAAGTGACATTTTCTTTCAGACAGCTAAAATGTGGATTTACCTGAAAGCATCAGAAAAGGCTAACTCAAGCCCTGCCCTGAAAGTATACAGCAACCTCCCCAGGCATGCTGCACCCTTATATTACACTGAAGTGATCAGACCAGAGTATGAGACTATGCACTACCTAGGTGTGTCAGATCAGAGTAAACATTAATATTTGATAGGAAACGGTCTACAGAGCACAGAAGGGAGTGGTGGGGCAAAGAAAAAAAAAAGACAGATTATTCCTGAACATACTTTGAGTCGATCTCCTGAATGACCGGTTTACTCTTGGTGCGAATGTTCTGCTCTGTCAAAGATCCCATGAACTTCCTGTTCTTCAGTATTTTTATGTCTAAAAAAAAAAAAGAGTCAGAATTTGATTTGTTATTGTACACTATGTCGCACTTTTGAGACATACACAAACACATTTGCAGAAGGTAAACAAATACAGTTCAAAACAGCCATTAAGCATTAGTTACTAATTTTTCAAAGGACATTTCTGAGGAGATCTGATAGAAGTTAATCCACCTGCATAAAAATCAATCAAAATAAAATAAGAAACAAAAATAGGAGTTTCTAAAATTGGAGAGAAAATGTGCCTCCTAACAAAGACCAGTAAGTGGTAGACCACTAGAACTGTCCCCCTCAGATAAACAGCACTTAAAGCTTTCATCTCTGAGAGAGAGGAGAAAATCAAGCTGCTTCAGATCTGAAAACATCCACAGGTGTTTCTGTCCATCCTTCCACTGTGAGAAGACAACTCAGTGCTATGGGTCTGAAAGGATGTGTAGCTGTTAAGGAGCTGTTAGTGAAAAAAGAGAATAGACATGAAAGCAGAACATTTGACTTAGAACACTGAAACTGAACATACGCTGTGGAATGATGGAATGATGAGTATACATCTGTAATTGGGATTAATTTGATCATGAGAAGAAGAAAATTCCAAGACTGAACTTGGAATTGTGGAAGTGTGAAAAATATCCCTACAGATTTCTTTGAGAAACTGAAAGTGAGTCTTCTGAAAAGAATGGAAGCTGTCATAAAGGCAAGGAGTGGACACACTGAATACTGTAATTTATATTATATTTATATTATATTATATTTAGTTGTAAGTTTAATAAGTAAGTCAATTTCATTTATATAGAAAATTTAAAACCATAGTGCTTTATAATAAAAGACAAAAAGGTTTTCACTTTCCCTTCATCACTTTCACACAATTCACAGTTCAACAGTTTAACAGCTGCTGAATGCCAACCCATAAAAATGTGTTTTAAGTTTGTATTTAAAAATAGTCACAGGTGAGGCATGTCTGTCACTTGGGAGACCCTCCTGATGCGTGAACTGACTTTCCTGACGCTGAAGTTGCTGCTGCTGCAGACTTGAACTAGTGCATAACCTGTTTTGCCCCTTTTCAGTATTTTAATATTTTATACTAACGTTAAAATCTTATCCTCTGTTCATCTTGATCTTGTGTTATTGTTTGCTATCCGGTGTCTACCAGAGAATGACTTCCTCTTCTGAGCCTTGTTTCCTCTCAAGGTGTCTTCTTGTCGTAGGGAGTTCTTCCCTGCCACTGTCACCATCGAAGACGCTCATGGAGGCTTTGACCCAGATTTTTCTGTAAAGCTGCTTTGCAATGACACCTGTTTTAAAAACCACTGAATAAATAAATTTTGACTTGACTTGACATTTGAGAGAAAGTATAGGTCTTTTCACATTTGCTTTCTTCTATGTTGTCTTTTTGTTGTGTCAGCTGTATTGTCTTACAGTTGTGTGCCTTTTGATATTTTATCTGTACTGTTCCTCCTGAGGTGAGAATAGCCTCACCTGACCCCAGACCCCCTTACCCTTCTTCCCCAACCTTTTGATTGTCACCTTCCTCCCCCAACCCCCAGTATCTCTACTTAAACCATGTCAGACCATGTATTCATCAGACTGGACTAGACTAGACTGGTGACCAGACCAGACTGGTGACACACTGATGACAAAGCTGTGCCTGTGCATGATTGGCTGCATGCACGTGAATAAGACTAGACTCCTGATCCTGCTGATTGACTGTTGATCGACCACGCTGTACCCATATTCTGTATGTGGAAATAAACTCCAGTAAACACCGAAGCTCCAGTCTCCTGACTCTTCCTGATTAGCCACAAATGCCGAATTTCTAACAACTTGGTGCTGTGACCCGGATGGCTTACTGAAACCTACTTGGTGAGTAAAAACACCGTTTTCGAACTGAAGAGAATTTCTCGCTTTATAAGATAGAGGAGTCAGTAAAGGTTAGCCTCTCTGAAACGAGAGAAGTTTACTTATCATCACTGATAAAGAAACCTGGTGTTTTTTTGTAGCTGCTATCCCCTCTGTTCTGAGGGAAGTTTACTTATTGTCACTGGTAAAAAGAACCCTAGTGTTTTTTGTAGCTGCTATCCCCTCTGTTCCGAGGGAAGTTTACTTATTGTCACTGGTAAAAAGAACCCTAGTGTTTTTTGTAGCTGCTATCCCCTCTGTTCTGAGGGAAGTTTACTTATTGTCACTGGTAAAAAGAACCCTAGTGTTTTTTGTAGCTGCTATCCCCTCTGTTCTGAGGGAAGTTTACTTATTGTCACTGGTAAAAAGAACCCTAGTGTTTTTTGTAGCTGCTATCCCCTCTGTTCTGAGGGAAGTTTACTTATTGTCACTGGTAAAAAGAACCCTAGTGTTTTTGTGGCTGTTATCCCCTCTGTTCTGAGGGAAGTTTACTTATTGTCACTGGTAAAAAGAACCCTAGTGTTTTTGTGGCTGCTATCCCCTCTGTTCCGAGGGGAGTCTATTCACTGTCACTGGTTAAAGCCTAGCGTTTTTCTTTTTGTGGCTGTCACTGTAACTTGTAACTTATCCTCTCAGGTAGTGAGGGAAACGCTGTAGCGTGAAGGCTGGTAGTTTACATGGGTTATCCTCTCAGGCAGTGAGGGAAGATTGGTTGTGTTTTTGCCTTAGCTTGTTCTCTTGTTACCTCACCATGACTAGTACAGGCCAAAAACTATAGAATCTTGAGAAAGACTCTTGGAAAACCTCTTAACTTCAGAAAGAGTACACTAGTTAAGGGAGGAACTGAAATGCCTTAAAGGACTGAATTTGCATTTGAAAAGGTAATGGATGACATAATAGGGAAACACATTTCATGAGCAAAAGACAACTCAGTATTTTTTATCCAAAGGTTTTTCTGCTGATAGAGAATGGACTCTTCAGGAATGTACAACAGCTTTGGGTTATGGTATTAAGCATGATTCAGTTAAGGAATGTCTTTTTGTAATAAAGCAGTACTGGAAGTATAAGCTTAGATACATGGAGGGTAAGCTAGAGGAAGCTGAGGGAAAGATCCTAGAGCTAACCAGCGAATGTAAAAAGCATAAATTAGCTGACATGAATGCCCAGAGAACATGTACAAAACCTAAGCAATCACAGACCAAGGTTGAACAGCAACAGGCTAATTGTAAATCTCAGTCAAAGCGTCAATGCCAATCTCTACCTGCAGGACCTCCTCTGGGTCAGCCATGCTACACAGAGGATGAAGATCCTCCACTGTTGGCTAGGCTGTACCCAGAATTAGAACCATACAGGGAGTCACAGAGCAGCTGTCTTTGGGAATGAAGGCGATAGAAGGAGTCATAGTTTCGTCTGCTCCTGCTTTTAACTAATTATTCTGATGCTTCAGCTTATCTGGGTGTCGATCTATCTTTTTGTTGTTATTTAAGCCAGATGTAAAAGCACTTTTTGATCTTTTGTTTGTAAGCAATGGATATCAGGGCAAAATAGTTGAATTGTTGTGCTGGTATACAGTAATTAGGGAAATTACTGACTTTATTGACTACTAAACGGTTCAATTTTGCCTGATAGAAGCCCTCACATTAATAAAATTTTGATGCCCACAAAAACTTTGGGTTTTTTTTTTTAGGTCTATGTAACTACAGTAGGCCTTGAATCAATCCTTATGCTACCATTTTAAAAACCACTATACAATCTGCTGGTAAGATAGGCATTGTCTTATTCTGTACAGTTATAGCCACTTTGTTTATTTCTGCCTTCGACATTGTACGTATGTTTGTACTTGTAGTCATAATACAGTTTTATGATTTTCCATTAGGACAATCTCATTAGGACATGAGAACAACCTCACCTTACCCCTGAGGTCTCCCCTGACCCCAGACCCCCTTCCCCCTTACCCTTCTTCCCTAACCTTGTGATTGCCACCTTCCTTCCCCAACCCCCAGTATCTCTACTTAAACCATGTCAGACCATGTATTCATCAGACTGGACTAGACTAGACTGGTGACCAGACTGGTGACACACTGGTGACCAAGCTGTGCCCGTGCATGATTGTCTGCATGCACATGAATAAGACTAGACTCCTGATCCTGCTGATCGACTGTTGATCGACCACGCTGTACCCATACTCTGTATGTGGAAATAAACTGCAGTAAACACCAAAGCTCTGGTCTCATGACTCTTCCGGATTAGCCACAAATGCCGAATTTCTAACATATTCCAGACTCTTGGGGTGGTGACAGCAAAGGCACAATCCCCTTTTTGTTTGAGACAATGGAACAGTCAAAAGTGATTGGAACGCAGACCTTCAAGATTCTCATGCTGCACATACTGAGCATGTCCACAACATATGCAGGTACAAGTCCATTCAAAGCTTTAAAAAGCATCAATGCCATTTTATACTGGATTCTGTAATGCACTGGGAGCCAGTATAAGGATACTATAACCGGAGTAATGTGCTCTCTTTTCTTTGTACCAGTTAATTTTCTGGCTGCACCATTTTGAACTAATTTTGAACAAGCAAGAGATGCTTTGTTATTTCCAAAAAAAACTATGCATTATAGCAATCTAATCTAGACGTAACAAAGGCATGAATTACTCAGACCTGAAGCATTAAGAAATTATTTTAATCTGGAGATCTAAGATGGAACAAAACCACCCTTGACCACTGCACTTATCTGCTTATCAAATTTTACTTCCTTATCAAAACTGACCCCAAGCGGCTTAGATAACATGTGCGTGTGTTTTTAACTCATGTTTTTATAAAAGGGGTTAAAGAGCCCAATTTTTCCCTCAAGCTCTTGGATAATGTGGGTGGACCAAACAATGTAACTTCTGTTTTTAAACATTCAGTTGAAGAAAGCTCCATTCTTGATATCCATGATACACTCATTGAGTCTTCCTACAAAACAACGATTTCCAAGGTTCAAAGGTAACCATCTGCACAATAATGAAATGAGATGTTATGCTCATGAGCAATTTGACCTAGGGGGATCATCTACAGCAAAAAAGGAAAGGGCCTAAAATAGACCCTTGTGGAACCTCAGATGTGATAGTCACAGATGCAGAGGAATATTTCCCAATGTTAGCTGAAAAAGTCCTATGTTTAATATGAGATAAACCAACAAAGAGCTGAACTCTTGACTCCTAAATATGTTCTCTGCTTTCTTCCTGAAGCTGAAAAATGAACAACTTGTGCTTAGTGGCTGTTTTGACTGAACAGATGAATAAGCAAAAGGGTGTCTCTGCACAGATGTCAAAATCTTGCTCCACTTCCCTACAGCTGCCGACTGACTAATGACCGTGTTTCCAACCTGTGTGTTGTGATAAGCGACCTGGCTGCCATGTGAATAAGGTAAACTGAATTTATAAGGTAGAAATTAATCAACAAGCTCTCAGTGCAAAACAGAGGTGGGTGGAGTAGCATAAAGTCACACTTCAGTAAAAGTATTTTTACTTTGGAGAACTAACTCACTTTTGTACTCAAGTAAAACAACATTTAAAAAAAGAATTTCAAATTTTCAGGTAAAACTACTCAAATGAATGGCTCAACGAAAAATGAAACGTACAGGGGTTCCTCTGCTCCCAAACATAGTTGGCTGGCCAAATAGTGGTAGATCAAACAGTGAGACAGCAGCTACATTGCTTGACATGAGGATCAGATACCTGTGCTAACACCTCAGATGTGCGGACTCATTTGTGAAGACATCACCCAGAGGTGTCACTTGCCAAAGGAAAAAGAGAAAATGCAAAGCTAAAGTTAGCCAGCTTCTTATTTGCCATTCCATCTTAAATAGAACAGCAGTTATATATTACTGCTGCTGCATTTAAGGTGGAACAGAAAATTTAAAAAGAAGCTCGAGAATATGAAGCCAGCTTGTCTCAGCTGTTACTTTTCCCCGAAAGACTCAAGCAGCCAAACGCCAATTTAGAACAGGCAAAACAAATAAACTTGCTCCACAGGGATGTTAATAGCTACCAATTTGCAACTATATTCGGTTGCAGAGCCCACCTCTACTCAGCTGTAGTCTCCACCTCTATTTGGTTGTGGATTCCAGAAGTTTAGGTCTTCCACTCATTTTAGCAAGAAGAGCCAAGCTTTAATTACAAACACAATATCTGATTGGAAACGTATTTCAAAATAATTAATTTAATAATTAGTAATTAGGTTTGTAATGTTCAATTCATTTCATTTACTTAATGATCAATTCATTCTTTTTATTCATTTTATATCTTCTAACAAAATGACCTCAACCAAAAAAAGGTTTCTGAATTTACAAAAAAATAAATGAATGCAAAAATAAATGCAGAAATCATGTAAGCAATATCTTTTCTAACTCTGTATCGAAAATGAATCATATCGTTGTGCAAAAACAACAATAAGTGTCATATCCTGAAATTTGAGCATTGTTAATCCCCTACTACCGAATAATGACCTTTGTTGGTTTGTAACTTCGGACACCAAACATCTGTTAACTGACTGACTACACACGGGGGGGATTAAGACTTTTCAGTATCACTTTAAAGCAGCACTATGCAAGTTTTTTTTTTTTGTTAAAATTGAAAGAAGTAGCATTAATAGAAGTAAAACAGACTAAACTATGGCATTGTGTTTTCACTTTGAGCTCTGGTAACTGACACATCTGGATGATGTCTTCACAAATGAGTTTACATTTGAGGTAGTAGCACAGGTATATAATCCTCATGTTAGGCAATGTCAGCTCTCTGTCACTGTTTGATCTACCATATTTTGCCCATTGCTGCTGTACTTGACTCAGAAACTTTGCCATTTCCAAAAGCTTGAGTAATCAACCATCCAATGTGGGCCAACCAAAATAGTTTTTTATGTTTGCGGTAATCAATTTCATATATATCATGGATTGTGTTAAATAAATCTACAGAATATATACATATAGCTACTTTCCACCTCTGCTGCAGTGAGGGCAGAAATATTGAGCAGAAAAAGCAGCAGCAAAGCAAGACAAGAATTCATTACACATCACTGCCAACTGACAGACGGACAGCAGGACTGGGACAAAAAAATAATACATCATTGTTGATTTATGAACATATCCAAAGTGCAGTACCCTAACAAATCTAGACCTCAGTATAGACAGCCTGACCTCTGCTTAGCTCCAAGCTGTATTTGTTCTCCAGTCCCTCTAGTGATACTGCAATCAGAAACTGCTGGAATAATGTATCCTTCTGTAGAAGTAAAAGAAAACGTCAATCCATGGATAGATAAAGATGTGCTGGTTTTATATCTAATTCACCCAAATATGCACAACATACCTGACATTTCTGGAAGAATTCCTCATTAATGACAACGTCATACACAGTGCAGCTTTTTGAGCCTGTTAAGAAAGAAGGAATGTAAAACATTAGCATACGGTCAAAATAACTAAAAAAACATAACAGCAAGAGTTTGGAATGGAATGCATCATGCATGGCTACTGACACACAGAAGCTGTCTATACGACTTCATTAGGCCTAAAACTTTTACATTTAAAATAAATAAATACATAAATAATATTCACCAACAAAAGACACAAGCCATATGCTGTAAACAACATAAAATGCAAGCCCTTGTACAAAATGTACCATTTTGGGCTCCATAATGTGATTAGAAATTTTTTTCCCCACTTACAGCAGTAGAAGCTGCGGCTGTCTGGTTTTCACTGAACTCATAGGAGCCTGGAAGTTTGCCACTGACTCTAGCTGAATCAGACACCCTTTACTGTTCTGTGAGCACCCAGCCATGCATACAAAATACAAAATGACAGATTTTCTGTAAGTTTCTGTTAAATACAGGGTGATTCAAATAGATTAATCTGATTTCAAAGTGCCATATTTTTACAACCGTGAGGGGCCTAGGAACCAATCACATACCAATTGAAAGAGTGGGTCACAGAGTTTCTGACTGTCTGTATGGCAGCGAACCTCCTACAGCTCAGAGCATTCGTCATTGGTACCAACAGTTCCAAGAAAAAGGTCACCAGCATCACCAGATCTCACGCAGTGTGACTTTTTTTGTGGGGTACGTTAAGGATTCTGTTTATGTGCCACTCCCAACAACACTGGATGATCTCCAAAATCGCACTGAAAGAGTTGTGAGTACAGTGACAGCCGACATGCTCAATCAAGTATGGGATGAATTTGACTACGGCGTTCATGTTGTCTGTACAGCTGGAGGAGGTTCATATTGAGTGCTTGTTAAATTACATAATAAAGTGTATGCTCACTTTTACAGTTTACAATTTACCATTTACAATTTACTGCATTGTTCTGTAATGATTCCGAGTGAAATAAATCATTCTGAAATCTTTTTGAATCACCCTGTATTTGTTTCTGGAAGTCTGGAAAAATAATTATATACATACACACAGCTATATATCGTATATGCTGTTTTTTGGAGTGTGTCTGTGGGAATTTCAGCCTATTCAATCAAAAAAGCTTTTGTGAGGTCATGACATTGGATGAGAAGGCCTGGGGCTTAATCAGCGATTCATTCCATCCCAAAGATGTTCAGTGGGGTTGAGATCAGGGCTCTGTGCAGGCCACTGGAGTTCCTCCACACCAAACTCATCAAACCATGTCCTTCCGACGCTCTCTTTGTGAACAAGGACACAGTCGTACTGAAACAGGAAAGGTCCTTCCCCAAACTGTTGCCACCTAATAGGAAGCATATCATTCTCAAACATGTTTTTGGTAGACTCTAGCATTAAAATTACCCTTTACTGGCAGAGCCCAAACCCTGAAAAACAGCCCCAGACCATTATCTTGACGCACAGTTCTTGTGCTGATGTTGCCTCTGGCGGTGGTTTAGAACTGCGTAGTGAGTGATGCAACAGAGACGGCCTGACTATTTGAGTCTGCGTGGTCTACCAATTCGTGGCTGAGCTGTTGTTGCAATAATAGCACTTACAGTTGACCAGGGCAGATCTAGCAGGGCATATATATGTGTGTGTGTGTGTGTGTGTGTGTATGTATGTATGTATGTATATACACACAGAGTGGTGTGAAAAAGTGTTTGCCCCCTTCCTGATTTCTTATTCTTTTGCATGTTTGTCACACTTAAATGTTTCAGATCACCAAACAAATTTAAATATTAGACAAAGATAACACAAGTAAACACAAAATGCAGTTTATAAATGAAGCTCTTTATTATTAAGGGAAAAAGAAATCCAAACCTACAGGGCCCTGTGTGAAAAAGTGATTAACTGTGGTTTATCACATCTTTGGAAAGCTGAGTTCAATTTCCCTAGCCACACCCAGGCCTGATTACTGCCACACCTGTTCTCAATCAAGAAATCACTTAAATAGGACCTGCCTGACAAAGTGAAGTAGACCAAAAGATCCTCAAAAGCTAGATATCATGCTGTGATCCAAAGAAATTCAGGAACAAATAACAAAGTAATTGAGATCTATCAGTTTGGAAAAGGTTATAAAGTCATTTCAAAATTACCCCAAGAACACAGCAATGTCTCATCACAACAGACACCACAACAACATCCAAAGAACTGCAGGCCTCACTTGCCTCAGTTAAGGTCAGTGTTCATGACTCCACCATAAGAAAGAGACTGGGCAAAAATGGCCTGCATGGCAGAGTTCCGAGACAAAAACCACTGCTGAGCAAAAAGAACATAAAGACTCGTCTCAGTTTTGCCAGAAAACACCTTGATGATCCCCAAGAGTTTAGGGAGAATACTCTGTGGACTGACGAGACAAAAGTGGAACTTTTTGGAAGGTGTATGTCCCATTACAGCTTGCGTAGAAGTAACACAGCATTTCAGAAAAGGAACATCATACCAACAGTAAAATATCGTGGTGGTAGTGTGATGGTCTGGGGCTGTTTTGCTGCTTCAGGACCTGGAAGACTTGCTGTGGTAAATGGAACCATGAATTCTGCTGTCTACCTAAAGTCTTGAAGGAGAATGTCCGGCCATCTGTTTGTGACCTCAAGCTGAAGCGCACTTGGGTTCTGCAGCAGGATAATGATCCAAAACACACCAGCAAGTCCACCTCTGAATGGCTTAAGAAAAACAAAATTAAGACTTTGGAGTGGCCTAGTCAAAGTCCTGACCTGAATCCGATTGAGATGCTGTGGCATGACCTTAAAAAGGCGGTTCATGCTCGGAAACCCTCCAACGTGGCTACAACAATTTTGCAAAGATGAGTGGGCCAAAATTCCTCCACAGCGCTGTAAAAGACTCATTGCCAGTTATCGCAAACGCTTGATTGCAGTTGTTGCTGCTAAGGGTGGCCCAACCAGTTATTAGGTTTAGGGGGCAATCACTTTTTCACACAGGGCCCTGTAGGTTTTTCCCTTAATAATAAAGACCTTCATTTATAAACTGGATTTTGTGTTTACTTGTGTTATCTTTGTCTAATATTTAAATTTGTTTGGTGATTTGAAACATTTAAGTGTGACAAACATGCAAAAGAATAAGAAATCAGGAAGGGGGCAAACACTTTTTCACACCACTGTGTGTGTGTGTGTATATATATTACATACATACACACACCGATCAGGCATAACATTAAAAATTGTTATGATTTTGTTTGTACAACTATTCAAAGCTGTGCTTGCTAGTCTTGTACCGGCTTGTGGTTTTGAGTTCTGCTCAAAATGAGCTAAACTGCCACTACCAAAACATTTAGTCATAGTTTGCCTGTTAAACAGCTTAAATTCTGTTGGAACTGTTGCTATGTAAGTCTGGTGACAATGAGGTCATTGGCTCAATCTTCAAAAAGACAAGGAATGAAGGATGTGGAGATGTATTTCAAGCTTTGAACAGACTTTTTCCTGCTGTTCATTAAAGCGCTTGTGTACTCTTGTTGCTGTAAAATTGCCTTGAACTGAATTGATAAAATTACACACAACACAGCCACTGTTACACACTTTGGTCCAGATGAAATAATACACAAATACAAAATAAACAGCAAAAAACAAAAAATAGCCTTATATTACTTGGTAGCAATACAACAATACAGGCCAGGGTAATCAATTAGGCCCTATAATTACCATGAAAAGGCTCAATCATCATGTTCCCACTAGTTTAAAAGTATTACTTATTTGTCTGTCAAAGTTAAAAACCTGAGTGTAGAGAAAAGGGTAAGAAAGTTGGCTCATAAGACCATTTTCCTATTGCTCATGAGCCCACGTTTTTTCATTTAGCTCCTAACCTTCTGTCCAAGCCTCCAAACAGCCTTGCTGTACAGCCAACTTTATAAAAAAAGACCAGAAAGAAAGGTTTTATTGAGACCAGGTGATACAGAAGCGCGGCTTCAATTCTGCTGTCATTTTTCAGGCTGCAGTTAAGTGTCTATCCCTGTTGGCGAGCTCTGATCTTTGTTGTCAGCTAACCCACATAAATACCTACAGTGAAGAACACAGGGGACAAACAACATAAAGGTTTCACTTCCTACTTGTGGGTTTATGTGGGTCCACTGCTTTTCACCTGCTTATGCTGCCAAATTTTTAATGGCTCCTTTTGAGGCCTCTGTGGACATCTGGTAGTTCTCGTTTTACAACTCCATTTCCAAAAAAGTTGGGACACTGTGCAAAATGTTAATAAAAACAAAAATGCAATCATGTCGAATCAAATGTCGAAACTGACAAATTTAATTGTTTTTTGGAAAATATATGCCCATTTTGAATTTGATTTTTTTTTTTAGTATTACACAACTTTACCAGCCTTTTGTTGCTCCCGTCCCAACTTTTCTGAAACATGTTGTTGGCATCAAATTCAAAATTCAAATATTTTTCAACAAACAATAACATTTCTCAGTTTCAACATTTGATTTGTTGTCTTTGTACTATTTTCAATGAAATATAGGGTTTAAATGATCTGCACATCATTGCATTTTGTTTTTATTTACATTTTGCAACACGTCCCAATTTTTTTGGAAATGGGGTTGTGCTTTGAAAACTCAAAGTAGTGATCCTCAGATCTTGTTTCACAAATAACAAATCAACCTAATGAGGCCTATATTTGTAGCTGCTTTTGTCACTGTGATGTACTTCTAAGTCTGTATTCATGCAGATTTTTTGTTATATTGTTTCTTCAGAGGAATGAAAGGCTTTACTGAATTATATGTAATTTACTAAAATGATTACTAAATTGTTATTTTAGAATTATAATTAAAACCTGGAGCTCATACAGGTATTCATTCCTTATATGAGCAGACAAAAAAACAGTGAGAACCAGAGTTGGGGCAGTTACCTAAAAACTAATAAAAAATTATTAAGCACTTCTCTAAAACTGCGTTGGGATTACTTTACCTATTACAAACCCAATTCTAAAAAGGTTGGAAGAGTGGGGAACATAAATAAAACAGACACCAATGATTTACAAATCCTCTATTCAAGTGAAAATAGTATAAAGACAAGACATTTAATCCCTGCCTTTCTTCTCAACAAGACAGCCAGTCATTACTGTTTAAATTTATGATAGAAATTTCTGGAAAATCTGGAAACCTGTCTGTAAAAACAGTTCTGTAAAAACAGTTGCCTCAAATTAAATTCTTATTAATTAAATTGTAAAGCCTACAGAGCTGTTTCTGAATGAAAACTGAATCTGGCCTGTTTAGGTGAGATTCAAGACTTTTCTTCCTCAGCACAGGAATCTAAAGCTTCCTGTGCTGTTTTTATTTTACAAGTTAAGAATTTTAAATTTTTTATAATTGAATTTTATATACATATTTTTTTTACTATTTGTCACTTATACTAGTTGTTTGTTTTACTAGTCATCATTACCATGTTAAAAAAACCGTCCTGAAAACTATGAGAAGTATTTTGTTAGAAGCTTGCTAATAGGGGTTGTCGCAGCAGATGCTGTGGTTTGGACTGGATGTATTGCATCTCAGTCAAATAGCCCTATCCTGTCAGAGACGATGGTTCTCAAAACCTACCAGTTCTGGCTTCTAAGCTTGTATTTCAGTATGGTCTTGTGCAGCTTGCAGTGGAATATTTTTCATCTCGAGTAATTTTCCAACATTAATAAAGCATTTTGGGCTATGTGCTCGGCAGAAAAAAAAAGTTTTTTGTTCTGCTCTGTTCCTCCTCCTGCCTGTTCACTGCTGTTTTTAATCCCTGTTGTATTTCACCAACTAGTTGACCTATTTATGCAAGCCCTAATGTACACTATAAAAATGTTTGCTCTCTCATTAGGTATAGAGTATTTTTCTGGCAGGCTAAAACGTCTTCATGGGCCAAACTTGGGCATGGGCAGCTCTGTCTTAGAGACATGTGTAACACAAGTACCAAAAATCTAAGTCAGTAACTGTAATGTGATTTAAAGAAGTGTTACACTACTTTGTTACAGGAAAAAGTAACAAAGTAGGTACAGTGGTAAGAATTATAATGCAGAAAAGGGACAAAAGGGCAGAGAGAGGAGTGATGAAGTGACAGAAAATGCTCACTGTTGTCTATTTCAGTGTGGGCCTCGCCAAGGCTCATGGGCACTTTGTATCCTGTAGGGTCATCTGACTCCAGGAGTTCCACCAACGCTTCCTGGGACAGGTGGGGAGGGGGCGGCACGTCCCGTGACTGACAGATGTTTACAAAGACTTTCTGCTGGTCTGTTAGAGATGAGGTCTTCACACATATGCCTGGAAGAAGGGGAGAATTCCATTTCTTTACATGATATTAGTGTTAATCATAATATCATACAATTAAATAGATTTTTGCGTAACTAATAACTATTTTATTCACAAGTGGGCGTATACCATTTTTCTCTTACCATTTCCATTCATGGCCTTTATACCAGTATGCCACAATTAAGTTCAGGTACCAAGACATACAACCACTAATGTCAGCATGTTTAGCTGAGTGGCTAAGTCTCATTTCAAATGAAAATAGAAACACAGCAGATATTCGGGCTTATTTTTGAGGCAGCAGACATAAAGGAATGGCCGGCCTTTTGGGGTTAGCTTTAGCCTAACAAGGACGCTACAGCAATTGCTGTGCTTCTTCTCTTAAGGCCTGAGAAGCCACCTGACTCGGTCAGCTGCATCAGATGACGACATGATCAGAGCCTTGTGTGCAGAAGCTGTGGATGAGCTGGTACTGCTGGTAACTCCAGCAGTGTCTAACAGTCACATGTAGAGTGTGCCAGAATGTAACTGCTAAAGAGCAACTAAGATTTAAGATGTTTTTTTTCATTAACAGCTGAAATGCACTGCTCTGTAATAATAAAATATACCAGCCTTGATTGAAATGTGAACACATCTTTCCAAAAATATCATTTTTATCGTGGACAGTTCTGCCTCTGCAGCGCCCCTCTGGTTCAACTCTGCTATGACGTGTCTTCGCACCAAAGTAAGATGACACGTCACGGTATGCAAAACAGACAAACAACGTTACCGCCCCTAATGATGCCCTACACGTGCCACACCCATAAATATGACAGCATAGGAGCCTAGAGTGAGGAGATAAGCACACTCATGCGCTGACCTAAATACCCCCAGCACCACCTCACAAAAGTGTTATGATTAGCACATTTACTGATAACGTTTAAGGTCAGATTAGGTAACCTGAAGGATCGATTAAAAGAGGATTCTTGCAAGTCTCCATACAGCTGCCGGTAGTGCCATGAGCAGCTTGCAGAACATAAGGATTTAGAGACCCTGCAGCAAAGCCTGGATGACACTTTATTCATTAGGAGTTCAGTACATCTAAGAAATCAGCTTGCATGTTTTATTGAATATGGACCCGCTGAACAGATAATCAGAAGCTAGTTCTCATGGTTTGAGGGAATATTCTACCATTTGGACGCCTCTCCTGCTCACAGTGAATCATTTTCTGGCAGTACATTAACTCTTTGTTGACTTGATTCAATGGTTCATACTGTTTAGGCTCAAGACGCACTGCCTGATCAGAAACACCTTCCCTCGTCGAAGATGGGGATGAGAGGCAGAGAAAAATAGCTCATCTTGTAAGACCCCTCAGTCGCAAAACGTCCCATTTCATTCTGTCACTCTCCATATTTTTTATAGCATTTGCTATAAAAACACAACTGTCTGGGGGTCAATTAAGGACAGGATTAGCTTGAGCGAGGGCAGGTTTTTTTAATCCTAGACTCGACTTAGTTTACCATTCGTTTTAAGATACAAGACCTGAATGTAATGTTTGTGAGAGACTTAGAATCCAAAACAAGTCTAAGAAAAACATCTGCCCCTGCTCAAAGTCCTTAACTCTCCCTCCAGACATGCTCGGCCGGTATAGCCAGTAGTTCACCAAGAGAAAAATCTGCCCGTCTGAGTTTATTCAAAAACAGCTTCCTGTTTGAAAAGCACCTCACTTTATAGCCTGCTGACTCATTCTTCAGCAATCCTGTTTGCCCTCAACTATCAGTGGAATTTAGTAAAAGTCAGTGTGGTAATCTCATTAATCAGCATTATATCACCCAACTGGCCTCAGCAGGTAACAGTTTCCCCCTCTATTTTACTTTTTTTACTTCTACAGAGATGTTTCTACAAGAATATCTTTTTCTTTCGGTCATTTTGAGAAAGTTCCCAATAGAACCATCAGAGTGACAGATGTCCTAGGTCAGGAAACTGTGAAGTGATCTAGTGAAAAGAAGGGAACTATGAATGTTACAAACTTTACCGTCCAAGGCTGTTTGGCCTGATATCAAAGTACACAACAGCTAAAACACAACAGTGTTTTTTCCCCGCAGAGACATCAGGTCATTTTGTCTCATGTTTAAACCCTGACACTGTGGTCTGAGGATGTTCTAAAATGACCACTGTAACATAAGACCTATTAGGACTGGATTAGTTAATCAAGGGGACGAGCGAGTTTCTGGTGGGTTGTATTTCATTCTGTCAGAATTTAATATTACATCTTAAAGGAACTGACTAATTATTATTTCTAGAGTAACTTTCAAAAAAAAAAAAACTTTTTAAAGGACTGATGATCTTTAGCTTCTGTAAGTGAAAAGTACTGTTCAACATTTGTAGCTGTCATTATAATCGCCCCTTCAATGAGTCGGCAGGGTCTCATTTTCTCACCGATTTTATTTTCGTTCTCCCCCTAATAATGTTTAATATAGTTTGGAGTTGAAGCTTTACCACCCAAAAGAACTAAAACTTTACGATTCAGAAAGTGTTTACTGTCTTGGGCAGGGGAGCTTTGATATCTGCACTAGGAGAACAAATTTGGTGAATAGCAGCGCACAAAAATCTATATCTCCTGTGGGAAAAGTGACAGCTGCCTGCAAAAACACAGATATGCATCCAGATGGGACTATGTTCAGTGAAAAACAGCATGTTTTTAGCCTGTAATTTATTCAGGGGAGGGTGGAGAAAAACATCGACATGGCTGATCTGGATGGAAATAAAGTCACTTAGGAGCACCTGTAAGACAGGACCTTACCTCAGGACTTTGAAATGAAATCAAATTTAATCCCATCCAGACAGATCTGTAGCTACAGGATGGGATGAACATCAATAATTTGTTGACGAATGGACTTATTTGCATTTATAATCACTTCAGCTGGTTTCCTCATACGTTTAATCTGCAACAAGAAACTGTCAAACACTAAAAAGTCACAAAGCTGAAATCAGCTTCTTGTTCGCATTCTCCCGTTCCACCTTAAATGATGCAGCAGTTACATTCTGTCACCTCAGGCACCATTTAAGGTGGAACAGGAAAATTCGAAGCTGGTGAATAAGAAACTGACTTCAGCCTCGTAAAAAGTCGAACATTGAGGGACATTTTACAAAAAACTATTCTACTTTTGAGGAAAAGTTTCCTGCCAGAGATGCGAGAAAAGCAGCTATAGTTGAGGTAAAGCTTAAAGCAGAGCAAAGTAAGTCTGTATTTTCGTTTATATTTTTTAGCCTATACTAGTACATCAACACACACTAAGATGTATTTACAGCCAAGATGGTAAAATGGACATAAAATGCTGTGGCTCCCAAGGTGCTTTGATTTTTGTTAAAGGACAAAATGTCTCTTCTTTACATTTGGTTTGCCAACCCCTGTTTTGGAGCCTCAGGCCGCTGCCCACTCAGGCACCACTTAAGGTGTAATGGGAAAATTCAAACAAGAAGCCGGCGAATAGAAAGTGGACTTCAGCCTCGTCTAAATCTCTGTGTCAGAAAATGCTACCAGTATTAAAACTACAGTTTGGATGGGTTGGTAGCCGATCACCTTGTCAAAAAAACACTACATTCGGATACAACGTGGGTCTTTCACTACCTTTGGGACCATCGAGACCCCTATCCGCCTATTTGATGGCCTGGATCCATTATTTGCTGCAGTGTTTGGCAAAGGAATGTGATCCCCTCAGGATAATAAACATTCTCCAACCGTCTTCTCTGCGGTTGGCGCAGTTTACTGCACAACAACTGCCCCCTAGTTGTGCGTGCATCTCCGTGATGATGTCGTACAGAAACCCATCTATTCGTGATGTCCAGAAAACCAGTGCATTTACATATAACTACCAACAGCAGTTTATCCCCACCCACTCACAATGGAGTTATAAGAAGTGTTTCAGATCTGCTTTTCAAAGAAGGCACAATTAACAGATGAGTTGAAGCAGCTGAGTTTGAGCAGGAAAGTCACCACACTCTGCTGGACACCAGCCCTTCAGGACCTCAGTTGTGCACCCCTAATTCAAATAATCATCAAACATGATGCCAGTTCTAACAAAAGCAACAAACTGAAATAAGAACCCACTTTATTTCAGAAAACAGTCTAGAGCAGGGGTGCACAGACTTTGTGTTTTGGGAGGGCAAAGTGTAACATCTGTGGTGGGATGAAGGCCAAAAAGGCCAAAAAGGCTATCAATTCAATTCAAAAAGGCTTCAAAATTCAGTTTTAAAAATGTATTTTTTACAACCACACTATATTTTCCCTACTAAAATACTTTAAAAAGAACACTTTAAAAGGAAAATTATAATTTAATAATAACATACATAAGATAAAACTGTGTTCTCCCATTGGTTGAAGGAGTGGTGGGCCATGTCTTCATGGGTCAGCTTTGGGCCATGAATTGGGCAACCCTGCCCTAAAGGTTATTTATTCATTTTTAAAACAAAATCAACAAAAACCAAAGCTGACAGCAAAAAAGCTACTGAAAAGTTGTCTTGAAGCCAAGTGGTAACATAGAGGAAGACAGAGATGGAAATATCTGAACAAGTCTTTTAAAGCCACTATCTGGCAGTTTGTTTGACCAAACGAGTCATATATAAGAGTTATGTCTCTGCAGTATGCATGCTTTGGGCCTGGAGAGGTGATAGAGAGACGATTTCAGAAGCAATCAAACAATCATATTTGCTTGGGCAGAATACCTTGACTTTTCATCTTGCAGCAGATATTTTTCACTAGAAAATTCTTCAATAGGTCAGATTGTAGGCCCCTTTAATCCACTATCTGTTTGGCAGTTTGTTTGACCAAACAAGCTTTACATAATGATGAGATTGTAGGCAAGACATTTTAGACACAACATGCATGTCACATGCCTACATGACCTCGGAGACTGGTACCATTCAAAACAAGCAGCCGTGAATAAACAAGGCTAAAGTTCAGACTTAAAGTCTCAGCAGGAAAGTAAAAGGTAAGGAGGCTGCTGTGCAAACTGATTTGGGATTAGATAATATTCTCAGAGAAACTATTTCGAGACTAACCTGGTTGTGGGCGGATGACTTTTGAGGGAGTACCATCACTCTGTACTTTTCCAATGGTCTGAAAACAGGAAAGACACAAATAAATTAAAGAGTCACACTAGCCCATTGTTTCACTTGGCTTTGAAAGGCAAACAAGATAAAAGAAGCATGCCTGAGTTTAGCCAAGCGTTTTGCCAATGACCAAACCTACGGAAAAAAACCTGATATAGCAGAACCAAACCAAGCATATCACTGTTGTTCAGTACTGCTGTGCCGCAGTGATTGTGAGTTGGGTTAATGCTTTGCTTTTTTAAATTCTATTTCCCATAAATTAACCAAGAAGGTCTAAATTTGGTGCAATCAAGGTTCACACAACACAAAACTTAATGTGCAGAGGACAAAACAAAAGCTTCCACTGCAAAAAAATCCCATCTGTTTGTAATAATGTAGTTTTAAAGTACATTTTTTTTAAACACCCGATGTTCTTCTTTACTTCATTTTACAGCATTAGAGAAAAAGACCTCAATAAGCACTTAAGTCTTTATTCATAACTCACAGGATATGTAAGCAAAAGCAGCAGGACAAAAAACTCAGACTTCTCTCACAGTTTACACTGGGTTCTTGACCGATTAAAATATCCACGCTCTGCCAACAAATGCCTTCTTTCACAGCATGCTTTACAGAAAGAGATTTACCACTGTTAACAAAAACTACTACTAACAGTGAAAACTGTACTTGTTAAAGCTGCACGCTGTAGGTTTTGGGGATTAGATCTCTCCAAGGGATATGTGTAATTGTGCAGAAGAACATTTTGTACCCAGGGACAATCGTGAGCGCATTGGTGCGGGGCGTGTCTCCTGAGGATGTGAAGGAATTATATCTTCATCCATATAATGTTGTTTTTGCATTTGAGACTTAAACATTGAGCTGTACCTTCTTTTTGCGCCTGACGTTAAGATGTATGAAATGGTCTGAAAAACTTCAAACCCAACGCCTCTGACTTTTAAATGTTATTTCAGGCTTTACAGGGCAACTCGCGACAGCTCACACCATAGTTTAGTCAGTGTATTTTTCTCCTGACACATTAATGCTACTTTCAATCTTAAAAAATACATTACTGTGCTTTAATTGCAATAAAAATAAACATGTTTTCAAAAACACAAAAACTAAATGTCGACTGCAAAAAGAACAAAAAAAGTGGTATATCGCTGTTAAAGGGTATCGGGTATTGAGCTATCAGCAGAAGTTGGTAAATGGGATTCTGAAAGAAAAAAGAAGAAATTTGATCCAATCCTATAACACATCTATCCTGAATTATAAAACAGATCCGGTCCTAAAATCTGATTGGCTGAGCCACATTTGAAGCCATTGTAAAATCCACAATATACCACAGAGCCCTAGGCTGGTCAGCTGGCCAACAGGCTAAAAAATAGCAAACATGCTGAACGACTCCAACATTATTATCACAGGCTTAAATTAGAGTACTCACAATATGATTCACTGAAAAACGGCAATATAAAAATCTAAAGAATGTCACCTGAATGTCTTACACACTTCAAATGTCCGTGTTTTAGTCAGAAGTAGCATCAAACCCAGGCTGAATCCCAAACGGCTCAGTACTCTCTAGCTAAATAGTGTACTGTGTAACATTATTAGTTTAGAAATTCTAGCTTCTGCTGTCAAATAGTCCACTGCTTGTCGAGTATGAATGTGGATGAATCCCAAATGACCGTTTTTTAGTGCTATTCTGCATTGTTAGGGTGCAGGAGTCAGTATTTAAATTCCTAGGTGGCGCACTATGTAGGGAGCAGGGAGCTGTTTGAGATTCAGCCCTAGTGTGAGAAAAGGGGCATCGTCAGACTGGCAGAAGACTTGTGGTGGTAATTTGGTGACCAAAAAGTACTTACAAACTGAAAGTATTTGCATTAAACAGTGCTATGTTACACATGTTCACTGTTATATGAAAATAAGTTTTAAAAAAAAAAATCATGAAATATCTGCAGTTTACAGTGACTGGTGACCGATTGTTCTTCATCATACTCTAAAGGAACTATTTCTTAACCATTTCTTGACAGTATACTTGTTTATGTCAATTATTATTAATAATAACTTAAAATATACACAATGTTTTAGATAATTATTTATGTTGGCCGCCGTTTTATAAAAGCAATAAGCCACTCAAGGCTGTGAGTTACTGCAATTTTATCATGGGGAAAGGTGTTCTTTGGCATGAAGCGCAGCAGAAGCCTCTCGTGGCTTATTGCTTTAGTATCATTCACTCACACTGTGTGATGTGATGTTGACAGCTGTGTAGTTATTCCTGTGAGATAGTAGAGGGTTTGAGTAGTTTCAGCATGACATGACACTCTTAAGCCAGCAGTCTATTCTAAATGGAAACATTTCAAAGCAAAACCCCTTTTTGGCTTAAATTACACTGTGAGTTGTAAAGTGTGGTGTGGGTTGCTTGCCACACAGTACTGCTAATCACTGCCTTGTTTGTTCTGAAACTACTGCGACTGGTAAAGTACATGATGTACACCAAGTCTGACAGCAAGTTCAGCGCTAGTTTAATTTCATCATCGTTTGAAGTGTACTGCCAGCTTTAGATACTCATGTGATGTTACAATGCAGTCACTGTAGCAGGGACAGTTGATCTAGGCTGGGTCAGAGTAGTTGAATGAATCTTCCTTTCCTACCTGCTTTCCTTCACTGGGCAGATATGAAGCCCATTAAATATGCTTAGAGCTGACTAGCATGTGGACCTACATGAATATCAGATCTAATATCAGGGTAAAATCAAAGAAAGCAGAACAAACAGGAAGTTTCATTTAGCTATTCAGACACAGCCCTAATTAAAAAGCACACAGAAAGCATCACAGTTAGGCCCAATCCCGTTTCACCCCTCGTCATTAGCCCTCTGTTTTGCGCGTTCATGCCTAGCGGTAGGGTGTCCCGATTTTTTTGAGATAGAGGTGTATTATCTTAGTTTAATGTCGTTTCAGTGTATTATGGTCCTTTTCTTCATAACAAGCATAAAATTTGCTATTTTCTCAGTGGCTAGTTAGCTAAATTTCTCATTCCACCTTAAATAGTTCCACATCACCAACGCCTGAAGCGCTAGAATGTAACTGCTGCACCATTTAAGGTGGAACGGAGATTATCATATCCCCCTCTTTGAAGGCATATGATGCCCTAAATGTAACTAAAGCCCAGCAGTGAGGAGCTGAACTTTACCCTCCTCTGCTGTCACTGCAGACTGGCAGCGTCGCCTACAGAGCAGCGCTAGTAGCTGTTAATGAAGTAATGCTCTTCTTTATTTGAGGGTCCCATTTTGTAGGGAAGATTTCAACCACTACCCCTTGCTCGAAGGGGCAAGGTGACACTCGAAAAACAAGGAGTGGGGGTAAAAATAAAAAATAGGGCTTTAGAATGCAAATAAAAATTTGGCTCAAGCTCATTTTTTATTATAATCGTACAGATTAAATGGCATAAACTTTTCAGCAGGTGAAGTAAATTATGCTGTGAATGGGCTAGTTATGTTAGCTGAGGTGTCAGACGATTCGCATTTGTCTGCTCTCCTAAAAACTTCAGCTTGACTGGCTCTTCAGTGTAAACTTCAAACTAAGTGTAATCTAATACAGATTTTGTGGAGTTGTATGTAGTACAGTCCAGTAATAGAATTAGTTTGGTAACTAGCTAGGCAAGAAGTGTTTACTAAAAGGCTACTTGCAGTGGAATCTGCCAGTGGCTAAGTGAAATATGTCAGTAACTAAGTTAAATCAATGACAGCGTGAATCCTCTCTGGTTACAGAAGGCAGAGGCTGAATAAATAACGCCAGTGACTCAGTTAAATTTGCCAGTGGCCGAGTGGACTTAATTAACCAATAGTAACTGTAACTGGCCTTCGAATGACTTCGAAATTCTGAATTACTCAAAATAAGACGCACTTAAACACACTACAAAGACGGTGAATGAAAAAGAAAGGTAACGTTATCATACCCAAATCACTATTCCATTTAAACCACCATTAATAAGACTACTTTTATCCATATTCTTTCGCCTGGCATCCCATTGGATTTCGTCAAGATACACTCTCTTTTCACTCTACTGAACAACAGAATAAAACAGCAATCTCTTTAACAGTATATAACAGTATTTGTAGCACGGAAACAAAAAACGATCCCACAATGCAGCACGGAATGATGTAAATTCCCAAGCCATTTCGTCGCTAATCAAATTTTAATATCTGTACTGGTATCACAAAAGGTTGTATCGTACCATCCCTAACAAAAACTATTACAAAGAAAAAATTTCAACTTTTTTTTATTTCTGCCAACGTTCTGTAAAGCTGAGGTCCTCTGATCTAGGTCCAAAACTCATAACAACTGCTATAGAAGAATGCACTTGTGGTCAGCGTATGGCTGTGTCCATTTATGTTAGAGTTTACAGTTCTATAATACGAAGCTGGAATATTTTCTTGGATCCAGCTGAACAGTTGAGTCCTAAAAGACAACAAATAAGCCACCATGCTAACAATAGCTTTATAAATAAATAAATAAATAAACGAAACAAAAACAACAATCTATCCAAACAATGTGACCTTTCACACACATGTACAATAAATTGTGCAAAAACAGATATGCACAAGAATTCCTCATTAGGCTGAATGGGATTTTTGCCAGCATCTTTTAAAATAATGCTTGACTAACTTTGCAATGCATTTTTGGGCATGAATTGGTCAATTAATAAGCACGACCACCATCATCGTCTTTACAGGAAAAGCAGAAAAAGCACCCTTGAACACAAAGTTACTTAAGAGATGGCTATCTGTGAAGGCTGGTCACTGTGGTTCAGTGGCAAAACTCAATGCTTTGCTGTGAATGAGCTGTAGTAACCGCATAAATGCTCTGATGAAGTTCTCCAGTACTTTCGAATAAAATAATGAGTCTAAATAATAGTCTGTTGCAATTCACTGACTGACGGTGCCTGTTTGAACTTGCCTTACTGCAACCCCAAAAACGCTCGGCTGGTCTCTGGTCTGGTCTTTGTTCTACTCAATCAAGTGCCCTGACACTTGCTGCCCTCCAACCATGCATGTATAGTTCGTGCATTTGTGATACATGCTGCAACACGTAGGGACATCTGTTACAGCACCGGCTAATGGTTACTCAAAACATGAAGGTAAGAAATGGCATCTGTGTTTCCTTGAACCATATACTTCTACACACCCACATACTTCTACACACCATCCAAATGTCCTTGCTGGGACACTCTGGTAAGAATCATACTGCAGGAATTCTCCACACCCACCCATGTGATTTAGAGTGTATGTCACAATGCGCCACTCCACAAGCACAGGGCCTACAGATCGGCCTTTCCTTTGATTTACAGTCCAGGTGCTCTACGCCAAGGCAGTCATCTGGACTGGTTATATTGCTGCCATGTTCATGTACAGTACTGTGCAAATATCAGAGATTAACCTTTATTTACAGAAAATAACACAGAACCCCCAACAACTAAATATAACAATTTTCAGCATCTTACGATCCAAGCAAGCCAAAACACATTCAGTGATGTTGAGGTCTGGCCTCCAGGGTGGTCAGTCCATTGTTTGATGTGTCTGTTTTCTTTTCTCAGTGAGGGCCACTAACAGCTACACATTCTTGTGGTGGGTGGGCACAATGTGTTAACAGAACAATGTAACTGAGGCCAAACTCCGTTCACTTGAATATTTCCACCCTCGCCAATGCAAAAGTGATCTTATTCATTTGCGTGAAACAAACCAATGGTATTATGTGTTAACAATGTCAGAGAGAGGTGTGCAGGAAAATGCTGGCAAAGTGAAGCAATAGTGAGCAAAGCGAGCCCTCTTCAGGCTATTTCGACCGCTCACTTCACCTTTAGTCTTCTCCTTCAAGATATACACCTGACATACATCCAAAGTTCAGTCTGCATTACCTCCATGGAAAAGCATTGACCAAAAGAATGAGATGCTCTGGACCGGCTACACAAGGGGCCACATGCCCAGCATCAGCTAGAGGGGTACAACAAGAACAATGGAACTGCATTCTCTGGAGTGATGGAGCTCCGTTCAACACCTTTGGGATGAGTCATCCAACATCAGTACCTGACCTCACTGATGCTCCTGCGGCTGCAATCAAATCCTCCGAGAAATGACCTGTTACACCCTTAACCATTTCATGCTTAAATGGCTCTTCGCATGGTAAAATTGTTGTTCAAAGTGACAGACAATGTGTTGTGTATGGTTCAATATAGAACCAATGGAAAATAGTTCCATATAGTACAAAAAAGGGTCCTTCTATTTCACAGTGTCAAGCTTCTAACAATAGCAGAACCCTATTTGGTGCTATTTAGAACCATATACAACACGCATCTCCATCAATCTGAAGAATCATTTCACCATGCAAAGAATCATTTAAGCACGAAGGGGTTCATGGTCCTAAATAGAGCCATTCTCTTTACTAAAGAACTCTTGAAGAACCATCTTTTTAAAGAGTGTAATATGCACTTCCTACATTTGGACTGATATGAAAGCTCTGTGGAAGCCCAACCCTAAAAATAAGCTCATAAAGATGACAAGTTCAAATAAACTGACAGCCGTTAAAGCGTCTACCTGAAGCAGGAGCTGCTGATAAAGCTCTTCTTGGCTCTGCTGCTCCAGTTCAGTACTGAGGAGAGACGAGTCCGTTTCCATGGCTACACTGGTGGAAAACAAGTACGTTATGGTAGCCAGCCAGCTAAAAAAGACTAAAAATAACTTTAAAAAGACTTTATGTCAAACACTTCAGAACGGCAGCTTCATGAAACGCCACACAAAGTACGAACATCATTAATTTGCCAAATACAAAGCAGACAAGCTTGGCTAAGATATCGTTAGCATAACAGTTAGCATGACAGGGCTTTTCGTGTTTGTGAAAGCTTTGCACAATTAACAAGCAGCGCCGTTTAAGAAGAAACACATTGTTTACCCCAAAATCTACTTTTTGTGATGATTTATCAGTCAGAGCTTTTTACATGCAGTTGAAACTGAGCGCTAATGTGCTTTCACATGCTACCATACCGGCTCCACACGAAGACTCAGCTGCAGCTTCCTGCAACAACACCGTTAGTCCTTCAAAATAAAAGCCTCGCCTCAGATATTTAACTTGAGCTGAATCCTTACAGGAGAATTACACTGATTTTTCAAAATATCTGCATGATTCAGTCATTACGGTGTAAACAAGATCATCCAGAGTGGTTTGAGGTGAAATGCTTCATTGTTGAGAAACTTACCGAGTCAGATTTGCTCAGTGTTGGTGATAGGAACCAGACGTCTGAAGAGTTTAACGCCTCTAAAAGCTCCCTCACAGAAAGCTATTACTAACAAGTTACCTGGTGCCTGACATATTGTGGTAGTTTTTAAATAATTTATAAAAATTTAAATTATTTAAAAACTACCACAAATAAATAATTTACATTTAAAAATTGCCACTGTCAGAACTGCAGAACTGATATTTTACAGCTCATTTTGAGGGAAAACAAATCTCCCACGATGCTCTAACACAGAGGAGCTAGTTGCTAAATTCTGATTGCCCTGACATTTTGAGCTCTGCTGCCCCTCTCAGAGCCAAGTGATCCAGAGTCAGATCTTAGCCATGGCTCAGTGGAAATACTCAGACCTTGAGGCAGGCAGGCAGGAAGGCAGAACATGAAGGGAAAAAGGAAACTGCAGATCTCCTACCAGATTTGAAAAGAATGAATGACTACACTGTTAAAAAGATGTTTTATAAAGGGTTCTTTAGTAAAGAAAATGGTTCTATATAGAACCATGAACACTCAAAGAACCCTTTGTATGATCAAATGGTTCTTTGCATGGTGAAATTGCTCTTCAGTTTGAGAATGTGTTCCATATAGGAACCCTTTTCAAATAGGCTTCCACTGTTGTTACATGCCACAGAACCCTTGTTTGGTACTATAAAGAACCCTTTTTTGTTTAGAGTGTACTTATCAGCACAGTGGAATTATTCACAACAGTTACAGCACACATCACTACAAGTAACTGCGCAAACAAACAATACCAAAGTAAACAAAAATGAATAAACACATGAATAAATAATAGTCACCAAACTATAATAATAACTAAATATAATTACTCTTTGTTGTGTAAAGCGACCTTGGGATTGTGAAAGGCGCTATATAAATGTAATTTATTATTATTATTATTATTATTATTATTATTATATATTATTTATAACAACATCATAATGATAACCAGGATGTTATTCTTCTAAACTGTCTTATTTGTGCTGTTGGCATCTGGTAAGTGGTCTGAGCCTACGGTTGAATAGCAAACACAGTTTGGCATGAACTTTGAATCCGCTATAAAATTTGACACGCAGGAACTGCAGTGGTGAGAGATGAGAGCCATTGCCAAACTTAAATCTATTCTGTCAAGTAAGGATTTAGAAATTGTGAGTCCAATGTCCAAGGCATTTCAGTCTTTTTAAGTCTTACAGAACTGTGTTTTATCGTTCAGTTATATCTTGTTGTTTTATCATTTTATTTATTTATTAATTTTCCTAATTCATTTTTTTTTTTTATTTATTACAAGCCCAGGTTCCTTTTCAGTTTTATAGATTTTTGTAAATACACGCTAATTCAAAATTTGATACTTGCTACACTTTCCCAAAAAGTTGAAATCTGAGAACTGTTAGACTGGGAAGTTTGTGGAATGACCAAAACACCTATTTTAAATTTTTTTTTAAGTTTTAAACTTTTTTTATATTTTTAAAACTCCACAGGTAAACAGGTGAACAGGTGATTTCATGACTGGGTATTAAAGGAATATTCACAAAAGGCTCAGTCAAAAAACAACATTGACTGACTGAATAATCCAACAGTTTAAGAACATTGGGCCTCTTTATCCAACCTTTCTCAAGAAGAAATTTCTTCTTAAACTCGTGCAGTTTTCACAAAGATCCTGACATTAACCAATATTTTCTGTTCTTAGGAAAGAACAGAATCTGCACACTCAAGAGCAAAAAGGTGCGAACAATTCTATGTTTAAGAACACATCATGAATCTGACATAGACATAGACGTTTCTCAAGAACAAATTTAAGAAAAAAGTTCTGAATTTACCCACATGGGTTTAGAAATACTTCAGCAAACCCTTGTCTGTAAACACAGTTTGTCACTGCATCTACAAATGCAAGTTAAGACTGCTACACAAAGCGAAAGCTATATATAAACAACAATAAGAAACGCTGCTGACTTCTCTGGGCTAAAGCTCAACTGAGATGGACTGACGCAAAGTGTACATGTGTGCTGATGAGTCTTCCTTTCACATTGTTTTTGGAAATAATGGACATTGTGTTCTCCAGGCCAAAAAGTAAAAGGACCATCCATATTGGTACCAACGTAATCATCAGAAACATACTTCTGTTATTGTATGGGGGTTGGGTAACTTGTTCACCTTTGATGGCAACATTAATGCTGAGCTCCAGATGGCGCTGCGTTAAAAATGCTTCTGTAATGAATTTAACCACATAGCCGGAAAACTACGCAGTATTTGGATAAGCATGCTGCATCTAGACAACATCTTTTTCAGGGATGTCCCTGCTTGTTTCAGCAAAACAATTACAACAGTGTGGCTCCAGAATAAGAGAGAGCAGGTGCCTGAATGGCCTGCCTACAGTCCAGACCTGTTTCTCATTGAAAACATGTGGCGCATTACGAAGCACAATATCTGACAATGGAGGCCCCGGTCTGTTGAACATCTGATGTGCTATATTTAGCAAGAATGGGAAAAAAAAAGCTTTCACAACTACAGCAATAAGTGTCCTCAGTTTCCAGAAGGAAAGGGGATGTAACACATGTGTAAACATGCACTTTTTTCAACTTTTTGGAACATGTTGCAAGGATCAGATTTAGAATAAATGTGTATATATACCAAAAAACAACAAAGTTAATAAGCTGAAACAAATATTTTTGTAGTGTTCTTAATTGAAAGCAGGTCAAAAAGGATTTGCTGTCTGTTTTATTTACATTTTTCCTACTGTCTCAACTTTTTTGAAATTGAGTTTGTATTTTTACCTGATTGTTCAGTACTTTGGTTGACACGTTTTCTTTAAAAATGCAACATGAATAAAAGTGACCTGACTTGGCTCCACATTTATAGCTGACTGCATTTAAAGTTGCACTTCAAATGAAACATCAGAGATATATTTATATCAAACTTTTAGCTTTAATATAATTATGTACAGTATACAGATACTTACAAGAGCAGAATTTATTTATAAAAATAATAACAATAATAATAGTAATAATGGTAGTAATAATAATAATAATCATCATCATAATAATAATAAACACCTGGTGAGCAGCACACAGTGCAGAAACATTCACAGCTCATCCATGAATCACATACATTTCCAGAACAGTCTTTACTAAAAGAGAGAAGCGGGAAAATTGTCAACCCACATGTCTGAAACAGCTTAGTGTGTCCAGTACATATTTAATTAGGCCATCTGTGTCTTTAACTGACCATGACATGGCTGTATATATGCACTGACAAATCACAGTTGCCTACGGAGCTCTGCTGGTGGGAATGAGATCATTAAGTCATGGCCACGACTTAGTAAGGCGTGGAAATGAGATCATGCCTTCGTAAGTCCTGGTCACGCAATAGGATCTCATTTCCACACCTTACTAAGTCATGCCCACACATTAGGATCTCGTTACCACGGCTTACTAAGTTGAGGCCACACATTATTTTTATTTATACAGGATGTCACTAGCAGGGTTCTGTAGCCACCTCTACTGTTGGCATGACAACAGCCAAGATGACGGAGCAGCTGTGTTTCTGCTTCTTACAATCCAAGTAATTCCAGTTACAATTACAGTGTCAGTGTTCTTGAGCAGATGTTCTTCATTTTTGCCTGTTTACTGTTTCTCAGTGAGGCTTCTTGACAGCTACACATCCTGAGTCGTCTTCTCTCAGTGGAAGGATGGACAGAAACACCTGTGGACGTTTTCAGATCTGAAGCAGCTTGATTTTCTCCTCTCTCAGAGATGAAAGCTTGCGAACACTTTATATGGACAGCCCACTGTAGATGCTTTGTAGACGCTCAACTTGCATTTCCCTTAGATTCAACTAAATGGCTATTACTTGTAGTAGATAATAAGCTTTGAGTGCTGTTTATCTGATGAAGACCGTGTTGGTGGTCTAGCAGGTCTTTCAGGTGGTTGTTAGGAGTCCTGTTTTCTTTGCAGCTTTTAATCATTGTTTTAAGCTCCGGTTTTGAAAGTATCTGTTTTTCACTTCTTTTTCTTTTCACTTTCTCCTTCATTATGCCAGTGGACTCTCTTATATCTCAGACATATAAAAAAATGAATCAGTTGTACTTAATGGCTGTTTTAACAAGGACCATAAGAAATGGAGGGTGGTCTCTGACTTTTGCAGTGCTGTAAATCTATAAATCTGTGTGCTCAACGGCTTTTTTTTTCAACACAGTTTGATTAATGTCAGGCAGATGGAAATGAGATTGATCTGACTGGAAAACTGCAGCATTCCTAGACAGCCCACCAGTCCAAATAAGGATAAATAAGACAGTTGCGCTCTGGGAAATACAAAGTTCAGGAATGCACTGCCGTGACCCAAGAAAATAGCTAAAATATCCTGGCAGATTTTAATGAAAAAGTGAGTCTCCTGAAAAGAAAGAGAAGCTGTAATTAAGGCAAAGAGTGGACACTCTAAATACTGAAAAATATCATGTTTACTTTTTGTAATTTTCTGTTAAATTTGTGAATATTGAAAAATGAATAACTTAATTTACTAATTACTTAATGGCTGTTTTTACTAGAAATGAAATACATGTTGGGTGGTCTCTGATTTTTGCACAGCACTGTATATGCAGATTCAGACAGGTGACAAATTAATGGAAAATATACAATAATAATAATAAACGAGTGGAGAAACATAAGACGTGCAGATGCTTCCAGACAGGTGCACTGCATGATACAAGTAAGCAGTTAGCATGTTCTGTGGTATGTATGAAAATGCTGGGCTGCGGGGCAGGAACCTATGTACATCTGAAAGGTCAGTGGAGAGGAGTCATCCTTCACCATGCTCTCACAAGTGGGCGAGTGCATGTGCAGTGTACACCAAGAGAACAGTACAGGCATGAAAGCTTCACCAACTGAGGGACTATCTTTTGGAAGAACGGTGTCCCATCCCTCCAGTCCCGAGTTTTGGAGACTTGCAGAATCTATGCTAAAGCACACTGAAGCTTTTCTGGCTCATGACAGACCAACTTTTAATTTGTCACCTGTCACTCATCACCCGTCTATAAAAGAAAAAAAATACAATAAAATAAACATACAAAAAAAATCTCCATTTTTTTTTATTTATTTTCCCACATCACATCACATGTCCTTTACTTTGTGTAAAAAATTCATAACAGACCAACAGAAATACTCCAAAAGTACGTTTAACAATATCTCTTTACATTAACTTACACTAAAGGAGGCAAACATTGTCAATTTTTTTTAAAGTTACAAGTTATTATTTTTGAGATACTTTTTTGAAAGGGACCATATATACATATATATTATATACATGCATATGTAGAGTATTTAGACACCCTAACCAAATATTTTTAAATTCACTTTTGTATCAAATGAATGTTCATGGTTATTTTTAAACACTGAAAATGTTGCAGTTATTCTTGTCATGTTTTGGTTGGAAACAAAGGTAAAAACCCATCAGAAAATGGTCCAATCAGGATTTCTTCACTGTGGTATCTAAATCTACAGCCAAGCAAACACTCCCATTTGTGAGGACTTTAGGAGCTGAAAAGAAGGCCTAATGTGTCAGATTAACGAGCAACATAATTAGAACAGACAGTGGAATCAACAAATCATGTTCTGATTTCCAATGGGTGGGACCAATGTTGTGAGAAGAAGCGTTTCTGTAAACCGTCTTGAAGTCCTAGATACATCACTGACTGTGAGTATGAGTGGTGGCCAGACCACTGTTATGTTCAGATGGAAAAGTGCAGCCGCTCTAAGGGGTTATTGTAAAATTGCTACACAAATGCATGTAAAATGTATGTTAATATGTCTGTTACAAGCTTCAGATGTCTTTTAGAAGCTTCCAATTTCCACGTTTAGTTTACAACAACCAAACAACGTTCATGTGAACTGCCGTTAGCTTAGTGCTAACATACCACTAAAATCCCATAGGGGCTCTAGCAGAAATGAGCAGAGGTGTTTCAATATTTCTGGCCTGAACTGAAGGCCTAGCTCTAACAGTCATTGTTTACCACTGCATTTAAACAGTGGTAAACTTTGAGGTTTTTCTTTTATACATACTTCACAAAGTTTTAACAAAACTGTATTTTAGATTAAACACTTTGAGCACAACTTCCACACAAAGGCCTCCTTTCCACCGCAGGGCCGAACGGTTCTGAGCACAGAGGGTAACCGTTCCAGTGGCATTTCCACACGGACACAGTTCGACAAGGAACACTTAAAAACTGGGCTCAGCTAAGACCAATTTCTAAATGTTAAATGGTACTGCTGACCAGAAGAGAGTAGCTGGGAGAAGCGAAGTTGACCGGCTGATGTTAAAAGGACAAAAACTCGACATCAAACTTCTCTGTTGTCTGAAGCTGGAGCCTCAAAGCTAAGCTAATGCTAGCTGGCTCTTCTCTCCTAGTTAACTTTGCTTAGCTAAAGAGATCCAGGCACCACAGTGCAGGTATAAGATGACAAAAACTTATTACAGCGAAAGCAAAGTTAACTGGTCGGTGTTGGAGTGATGGAAAGTGGAAATCGGACCTGTTCTGTTAGTGCTTTAAGCTGTAGCCTGCTAGGCTAAGCTAACGCAAGTCTAGCGAACTAATAATTAAAAACACCCATTTAGAGGATAAAGACTTGTATCTGAGAGCACAAATTTGAATGACTGGTGTTAAAGTCACAGAAAGATGAAAAAATTTGAATTGTTTTGTGCTGCTTTGACCTGCCGGGCAGCGCTAAGGCTAATGTAGTTATCTGGCTAAAGGTAAAACCCACCGCAGAACCGTCTGTTTCAGTGACAGATGCTCAAATAGCACAGAGGATAAACAAGTTGTCAAGATGAGAGCACAGCGAGAGAGACTGGAGTTGGAGTGACAGACGGAATCCGACATGTTTTGTGGTGGGTGGCGTGTATGTAGCTATTAGCCTGTTAGCAGTTAACCACTGGTTGTGTAGTTTTCTTCGGTATTTCCTCGTTCATTGGTACAACGGATGGAAACAGAAACCGTAACCGGTCTCACGAGTCCGGACCTGTGCAGAACAGCCTAGTATGGCCCTGAGAACCGTTTGGTTCGATAGTGGAAAAGCGGCCAAAGTTTTTGTGTGGAGAAAGCCTGGAGAGGAACCCCCACCAGACTGCACTTCAGGTTCTGTAAAGCACAGAGAAGGAAACGTCAAAGGGGCTGTTTTTCTGGCAGTGTTGATGGAATCATAAATACAGAAGTGTACACAGGCATTTTGGATGTGAGCCTGCTAAGAAACTGCTCAACACTTAATGACCCGAAACGCATCAGCTGCCTTTTGAACGAATACATCGCCAAAAAGAAACTGACAGTCTTTAAGTAGTACATTTATAATAAATGCCGCTTGGTTTGACATTTGGTTTCTTAACACAACGAACTTGCATTTACACTTTTAAGTGGCGCAAATACTTTTTGGTGCCACTGTATATATACAGCACTGCGCAATAGTCATCTGAGAATTTATAAGCATTTATTTGTTTTATGTATATATATTTTTCCCATTGTTTTAAACTTAAATAAATAGAAACTGAAAAATTTGCAGAAGCATGTACCCTGCAGATCACAAATCAACAGAACGTGAACTGACAAGGGGTGTTTTTTGCATATAACCATTTACATATGTTGTATATCATGTTATGTCATACTGTTAATGCTGAATATTACCACGTAATAAAACTCTTGTTACACAGTAATATTTATGTTTTTGATTATTGAACAAAACAGTTTTTGAAGCAAAACAACACATTTTTGGTGCATAAACACAAATCCATACAATGTGGTGTGAAGCTCATATCGAACAACATATCCTGCTGTTTGACTGGTGGTCAAATGTCCATTTCAGTACGTATGTGAATCATGAGTCTATCATGAAAATGGAATACACTGTTATATGCTGTCAGTATGTTGCAGAGTATAAACAGAATATATTGCCAGGTATTATACTTTTTGTGTTAGCTTGCACTTCATATCCCTGCACATGCAAGTTTCCCTCATCAAAACCATATAGCATACCTTTAATTAAAAAAAACATGTGAGAAGCTGGCAGACTTGACTGGAGCTGTCAAAATTTCAGCCCAATGGAGTCAAAGCGGAGGTTCTTAAGTTAGTGTTCAGTCTCGACTTAAGTAAATCACTTTTCCTCTCCAGTTCGAGTCTCTCCAGTCCAGTCCAAGGCTGTAGGTATGTATTCCATGACGTATGGAGAAACCACACTTTCTTTTTATGGATCAGAATGCTTGGCGTTCCTCCATGCACATGCTCCATTATGCAGAGGGCAGGTGCTGGACAATGATTGCTCCAGTCGCAGCTTAGCCATAGTGTCTGGAAAATTATAGACAGTTATCATCTCACGCAGAGAGGTCCATCTGGAGACAGCGAGGAGCGAACAAGTCCAGCTCTCACTACGTCAGGAGGTATTCCATTCCACTGATGGATGTCATTGATGACCCTCTGACATGTTACACTGAGCTGGAACATGAAGACCAAGAAAAAGTGATATGAGATTCATTCAGAATGACCGTGGTCGTATTTATAAACACCACAGCAATCAGAGCAACTCACCTCAAGTAGCTTGGTGACTGAGAATCTCATGAGCGTCACTTCAAGGAGAGACACAATAAAGCTGGAGTTATAAAAGTGGCCAATGTAATGCAACTCAGAAAACCATCTGATCACATCGCAGGTTTTAAATCATTCTTTTTAGTAAGGGTGGGCAATAGGGCCAAAATATCTCATGGTTAGTCGAGTTCCTGCGGTAACAACCCCAGTGATGGTAAACACTCATGTACTGCCAGTTTAAAATGTTAGTTTATTTATTTATTTCATGTGAACTATAGCAAGAAACTAGTGATCCCACACAAAAACAAAACTGAATGTCTAAATGTTTGGAGATGTGATATCCTACATTATTACCACATGTACTTCACCAAACATACAGTATATGGCCAAAAGTATATGGACTTCAGGTGTTTCAATCACACTCATTGCTAACAGGTGTATAAAATCAAGCACATGCAATCTTCATAGACAAACAGTGGCAGTAGACTGGGTCGTACTGAAGAGCTCAGTGACTTTACACATGGTGTTGCCATTTTCAGCCACAAATCAGTTTCTGCCCTGCTAGTTCTGCCCTGGTCTAGGACTCAAAACTCACAGACCAGGGCTGCTGAGTGCTGAAGCACAAAATGCTAAAATCACCTCTCACTGTTGCATCACTCACTACAGAGTTCCTAACTGCCTCTGGAAGCACCGTCAGAACAAGAACTGTGTCCTGGAGCTTCATGAATTTGGTTTCCATGGCTGAGCAGCTGCATAAAAGCCTAGGGTCATGATGTGCGTTGTCAAAATTTCATCTGGAAATCTGGTGGACAAATCTTGGTTTGGCTGGTGTTTGGTAAGTTTGGGGTTGGTATAGTGGGGATTGGTATAGCGTAGCAGGTAACACTACTGCCTCCCACGCTGCAGACTGGGGTCTGATCCCTGCCTTGGCAAGCACTCAATGCTATACCAGTAAGAGGCCTTGGGCAAAATTCCTAATGCTATCCTTGCCTACCTGCGTAAAAGATGATCAAACTGTACGTCGCTTTGGATAAGAGTGTCTGCCAAATGCTGTAAATGTAAATGGTGGCAGGAGAACGATATCTACCGGAATGCACAGTAGTTTGGTGGAGGAGGAATAATAGTCTACAATTTTGAGGAAAGCCTTCCCAGAAGTGTGGAGGCTGATATAGCCACAAAGAGGGGGCCCACTTCATATCAATGGCCATGGCTTTGGAATAATATGTCCAATAAACTCTTATAGGTATACTGAGATACCTACAAATTACTAAACACAGGAGCTTTTATGAATCCCATTCTAAATCCATAGGCATTAATATGGAGTTGGTCCCCCTTTGCAGCTATAACAGCTTCCACTCTTCTGGGAAGCTTTCTATAAGATTTTGGAGAGTGTCTGTGGGAAGTTTTTGCCCATTCATCCAAAAGAACATTTGTGAGGTCAGATACTGATGTTGAACGAGAGGGCCTGGCTCACAATGTTCTAGTTCATCCCAAAGGTGTTTGATGGGGTTCAGGTCAGGGCTCTGTGTGGGCCAGTCAAGTTCTCCCACACCAAACTCACCCAGTCAGGCCTTTATGGACCTTGCTTTGTGCACTGGGGCTCAGTCATGTTGGAACAGAAAAGGTTCTTCCCCAAACTGTTCCCACAAATTTAGAAGCGTACAATTGTCCAAAATGCCTTGGTGCTGAAGCATTAAGATTAAGATTAAGATTAAGGGGCCTAGACTGACCCCTGAAAAACAACCCCATATCATCATCCCTCCTCCACCAAACTTTACAGTTGGCACAATGCAGTCAGGCAGGTAATGTTCTCCTGGCATTCGCCAAACCCAGACTCGTCCGTCAGACTGCCAGATAGGGAAGCCAGATTCGTCACTCTACAGAACACATTTCCACTGAGTTCAGTGCCCCCCCGCCCCCCAGAAGACTACTGACTTTGTGTCTGTTAGCTACATTACCCCTGTAGCTCCAGTTCTAAGCTAAAGAAGCAAAATCTGGACTCCAATCATGTCTTTGCTGATTGACTACATCTGGAGTAAGTGGAACATTACGTAAAAAAGCGTACTTTTTCACCGAACCATCCCTTTAAAGATTATCATCTTGGAGTGTATAAGAAAGGGTTACAGCTGATAGTTAGAAATGATTTCAAAGCTTTAAGAAATCAAAGCCAACACTCTCATTTTTCTGGACTTTAACAAGTGTAACAATAAAAGCAGCAGCAATTGATCCAAAAATGCTACCTGGAGGTCTACATTTCCATTCAAGATCACCAGTTCTGCGAGGTCACCTGGCCGAGGAACTTCAGTGCGCTCCTATAAGACAGGATAAATTATAGACAGTATTAATTCATTTTGTTAGGGTACTGGCCTTGAGACATTCCGGACATTCATTTATTAATTATACAACAGTTAGTTCCGGCCACACCAGCTGATTGGTTGATGAGCGTTCTAACTGTGCTCTTATATCGCCATAACATCACAATTTTTTCACAAACACTGTATCACTCCGCTGAGAGCCACTTGAACATTTTTATTTCTTACTTTGCACATAAACAGAAAATGGATACTTTTATGATCGCATTTGACCGACAACCGATTTGGTCCGACTCTGAAGATGAGACTAGACTAAATTCCCAATCTGTCATCACCACTGAGCAGCTTTTCAGTCGGCAGCTGTGACAGAAGAACAGCTAAACAACCTGGAATCAGCCAGAAATGAACCCAATACCATTCGCCAAACTAAATGGGCTGTAAGATGCTTTATAGACTGGCTGTCTGTAATATTGATCTAGCAAAAAATGAGAAAACTGAGCTAAACTTGATATTGCGGCAGTTTTATGGCTCAGTCTGTACTTCGAAAGGCGGGCTTACAGCAAACTGTGCAGTGAGTGAGCGGAGTTCGTTACTCTGACGTAGCAACAAGCTGCTTGTTAAGGAACTATAATTTGGTGGAAGGCACTGCTAACGTTAAAACATATTAAATGCCACATTCACGGCCCAATCTATTTATTTCTTGCTTTATTTCTTAACTGTTGTATAAAAGCAATAGAACACTCAAGGTCGTGTGTTATCGCTATAACATCACGGCTGTGATGATCTACGGCGACCAAATCACAGTCGTGATGTTATTTCGCGATAACACGCTCCCTCTCGTATTCTATTGCTTAATTATAACATAATTCTCAGTGTTCTACAGCTTTCTCGGTCATCTGATAACCTTCTACGTCTCTGTTCATCATTCTGGACACATCTAATGTTTCCTTATTTCTTCCAGTATCCTATTAATGATATGCACAGGACTAGCGCATTAGAGTCCTTCATATATGTATCTACAACAAAATTGGTTTTACATTACTGAAAACATTGTATTCAAACTTTTGAACAGCAGTGTACACAGTCATATGCAAAAGTTTGGGCGCCCCTGGTCAAATTACACTCTAAATATAAGCAAATATATCCTCTGTAGAGAACACACTTCTGCACATTTGAATGCATTGTACACTTCAAAAAAAGACGGTTCTTTAAGGGTTCTTTAGTAAAGAAAATGGTTCTATACAGAACCATGAACACTCAAAGAACACTTCGCATGATTATAGGGTTCTATGCATCATGAAAGCGTTCTTCAGATTGATGGAGAATGTGCTGTAGATGGTTATATGTACAACCTTTTTTGTTCTGTACAGCGCAGGGTTCTGCGACTGTTACAAGCTTGTATCGCAACAACAGCAGAACCCTTCTTGGTACTAAATAGAACCCCGTTTCAAAAAGGTTCCACATAGAACCATATATTATATTTTAATGCACAATCACTGTTTATTTGCTGAACTTAACAAAAAAATTAATAAAACATAAAATGTGGCGTGTGCAAAAGTTATGGCACATTTTATACTGTATGTTTCTTCCCAGCATGTTAAACTCAGCAAATAAATAGAAACCGCCAAAAAATATTTAAGCATGTTCTCTGCAGTGGATATTAACTTCTTTTCACTTGGACAAACATCAAAACAAGTAATTTGTGGTGTTCAAACTTTTGCTCATGACTGCATATAATATATGCATCACTGTGTCCAGATGTAGCATTTAAATGAGCATTAATAATAAAACAGTCGGCTAAATTACAGCTTTAACCGCTGAAGTGCTTCATGTTGCAGACTGTGCACGCATCGAGTTGCAAATGAGCACTGTTGGTTTTAACTTTTGCTCTGCCTTTAGTTTCACGAGCAATTTGAGCACTCGAGGAAGGATCTGACCCCCTTTACTGGATAAAGCAAGGTCAATGATTTTGAATGCACTGCAAGGGAAAAAAAGAGCGTGTTAGCGTACTTAGAAGTCTGCCGTGAAGACAACGGTGGAGGAAAGCAGTTGTGGTTTATGTAAGCACAATGATGAGGGGTGTGAAGTAGAACAAACAGAGGTGTGAAGAGAAACTTCACAGAAATTATCTCCCACAGAAACCACCACCAGCGTCCAGATGTGATCTACTTTTCACAGAAGAATTCACCTCAACACGCAAACCCCACGTCAGCACCAACAAACAACAAGCCCCACAACACAAGACTGCACAGCTGCAGTGAGTCATAGATAGTTCACGAGAGAATAATCAGCCTCCATTGAATCTTCATAAGCTCAGTTCAGTGAGTAAACAGTAAAAATGTGTTTTCTGTAGAGGATGTGGTAAAGGGAACCCCGACTGTGAAGACGTGAGCCTTAATGTGGTGTGAATGTCCAGTACAATTAAAATGTGTTGTATTAAACAAGCAAAATACATCATTGGTAATTAAGAACAGACAAAATCCTTCTACTAGGAAGTTGCCAACTTTGTTGTTCCATCAAATAGTTGCCTACTCTCCCATCTACTGAGTGAAGAACAGCAAGCTAAACATCTCACTAACTCAAATGTATCATTTAGCCTTTCCAACTTTACTTAGAACACTTTACTTAGTCCAGTGCAACCATATGACATCACAGTGTGACAGTGGTGACCTACTAATAGAGGGATTTTACATATTTGTAATAAGGCTTTTTTTGTTTGGTTATACATCATATTTTAATAGAATTAGACAGGTACACCATTTGATACAAGTCTTAACAGTCAGGGTTCCCTTTAACGTATTTTCACTCAGAAAATCACATGTAAGTTGACACTTCAGTTTAGTCAGTGCCAAAGCCAGAGGTAAAACATCATTTTTTGAGTTGTTACATTATAATATAACTTTAAGTAGATTATACCAGGTGGTGAAATATGAATTAAAATGAAATACTGATGGACTAAAGATGAATAATGTATTGTACTAAAGAAAGTGGGATAATGAACGTAATTAAATCAACTGTCACAAATCTTAATAGTCGTTTGTTTTACAGTTAAACGAAAAAAGATAATTATGATCAAAAATTAAACGGGTAGTTAGTCAGACATTGTACACTCCTAGAAAAGATGGTTCTTTAGTAAAGAAAAAAAAGGTTCTACAGAGAGCCATGAACACTCAAAAAATCCTTTGCATGATTAAAGGGTTCTTTGCATCATGAAAGGGTTCTTCGGATTGATGGAGAATGTACTGTACATGGTTCTATATGGAACCTTTTTCTATTTATGGGTTCTATTTAAAGTGCTAAATAGAACCATTTTGTTATAAATAGGACCAAATACAACACACTCTCTATCAAATTGAGGAACGCTTTCATGATGCAAAGAACCCTTTAATCATGCAAAGGGTTCTTTGACTGTTCATGGCTCTAGGTAGAACCTAACTAAAGAAAGATTTTACTAAAGAACCCTCGAAGAACCATCTTTTTTTAAGTTTGTACTAAACGAATAAATGTTAGATGTGCCCAGAATGATGAACAGAGCTGTAGATGGTTCTATAATAACTGAGAAAGCTGCTAAACATCGAGTATATTTTAATTAAAATAACCTTCAGAATGCTTTCGACTTCAGAAGTGGTGATCTAATCTTAAGACAAATAACTTGACAAGAAATGACTTTGAATAGAAAACTGATGATCATTTGTTATATAATATCTTCTCTCATTCTGTTTGATGATGCCAGAAAAGAGAAGTATTGATTAAAAGCATTTATAAATATCTTCTGTTATTCCAAATCCAAATGATTCAAAATCATTAAACTAGAAAGCAATCATTACAATGACTTCAGAAGAGTATAGGCACCCTCTACACATGTAATTATAATATGAAGAGTTCATTTGCAAAAACAGATATCTCCATTTTAATGAATTTTCATAAATCACGTTTCTTTATTGCACATTCCAGGTAATCAAATCAAACTGCTGTTGGGTTGTTTTAATTAATTAAACATGACTTATTACAATTTACAAAATTGAAAAAAACCTTTGAAAAAATGTTTTTATTGAAAATCTTGTTTTTTTTGGCAAAAGCAGATAACTCTAGTGATCATGTTTCAGAATGAATACAAGTTTCTTTTAAGTGCAATATTTAACGCTTTAACATAAAACAGCTCGTAAAGGTGCTGAAAATTGGAAAACAGCCCATTAATGGTCAGCATTAAACATCTGTAAGATCATACACTGGAAAATCTCTAATGGCTCACTGCTCCCTATATAGTGCACTATGTGAGCTATGAAATTGGTGTCCAGTATGAATTGTGCTCACATGGCTGAATCCTGAGTGGTTCTCTGTTAGACACACTGAGCTCTGTTAGACCCAGTAGACGTTATTTTAGGACCTATGGGCTGCACTTTGTAGGAAGAAGGGAGCCGTTTGAGATTCTCCCCAAAAAGAGTTTGTGGCAGTTTTGAGTCACCTGACCCGAATACTGTGTGCTGATTGGCTGTACGGATTTATCGGGTTCTGTTTGAAAACTGACCGTTTCTGCTGTAAAACTTAAACTTGCAGTGCCTGGACAATGAACAGTACCGGCTTTTGTGACGAGACTAACGAATGTGCTGTGTGTCGAGAATAACTGACCACCATCGGCTCGTTTTTTAAAAGGAGGACGTTTATTGTTTTTTGCAAATAAACTCTTCAAATGCTTCCAATGGTTTATCACTTCACAGGAAGACAACAACCCAAGACACAAAAGCAAAACAACCAAGAGCTTCACCAACAGGTGACCGTCAGTCAGGCATGCATTTCATTTGATAATGAGAGTAAAGTCAAAAATCCCATTACTAGGGCCTGACTGATATGACAGTTTTGTGGCAGATACCAATACTGATTAAAAGCTGATCATACTGATCAATAATTATATGTATGTTTATGATTTTATTTTAAACATTCCAATAGTTTAGTTACACAGTGCTTCACTGACTGATATGACTGTCAGTTCTCAAATGTGAAATTAAACTCAAATGAACAGCAGAAACAGTCTTAAAGCTACGTTTGAGGGATTTGGATACCTCTCTGGTGCAAATGTATAACTAGGGTACAAAGTACAACCCATGTTCCCAGAGGGAACTGACTAATTCAGGGCCTCTGATTGGCTTTTTTTTGTTCAATAAAATTGATTTATTTCCTCTACCCAGATTGATAACAAGCCAATGCAATCACATTTATTGAGCAGACATTTTAAGGTAGTGAAATTTGATTTGTTTTCTGAGGGTGCTGTAAATGTATTACGGTCAATCAAATTATTATGCTCTCCGCCAAGTTCCGTGTGCCCTCTAATCAATAAATAGCAACCGTTGCTATCTGCTATCAGTTGCTATCAGTGCACCAGTGTGTGATTCTGAAGCTCCAGCTTCGGTTAAAAGATGCAGGTTAACTGAGTATGTGTAAAAGTCAGATTTCCGACCTGTTCAGTATGTTGAATTCTACCGATGTTGTCAGTTTCTGAGAATCTGGTACTTATGACGCAATGTAACTTCAGTGCATCAAAGGTAAGACACTAATGAACTATAAATGCTTTACCTGTCGTGGCAGTATGCTTTACCTACGATGATTAGGTTTAGGCTTTTAGGTTTGTTGTTTAGTTTTTTTGTCTGTAACATTGTCTTCTTTGGGCGCTTGGAAACTGTGTCTACCAATTTGCTCTACCCACTTTTTCACAAGCCTACCCAACAATTTATTTCTGCCCACGCCACTGGATAAAACGATCCTATAGCTTGTTGTAGACCTTAGCTGTTTTGGTGATATGGGTGATTTACAGTGTAAACACCACAATAACCTGGAAAAAGCTCCATGCAACAGATTGAATGGAGCGCAGCTAGATAACATCAGCACACATGAGCTCAAGCTGAAGTTCATCTCAAGTTCAGCGCAAATTTTAAACCTTGACCAACTGTGGCTTTTACTGCTTTGGTTCTGGGTTTAAGTTTGGTGAGACTGAAACTGACCTCCTATTTGGCAGCTTTATATTCAAATGTTCCGTCTTGCCAGAAGGCAACTGCAGCACCATTTAAAATGAAACAGAAAGTTTGTTTAAGTTTGTGCAGTAATGGAAAGATGATGAATGGCAGTACGAGAAGAAACTGACAGTGTGTGCACTTTCTTGTATGGACCTACATTCACAGGGTCCATGACCACCTTTAGCCCCAGGGCCCACAAGCAAGTTAAAGCACCCCTGGCAATTACATACTTCCAACATAGAGGCCTCCAAATCCAATCCCCAAATCTTACATAGAGCAGCTTTAACAGGCTGATCTGAGTACTGTGTGTTGAAGAAGTATTCAAAGAGACCTTATTCCAAACATGGTGAGGGACGTGAGTGAATTATCCACTACTGTCATCATATCTTCATCAATGCAACTTTGAATTTGACCTAAACATCAAGCCGGACCTTCTTTTGAGGCTGTGTGTGTGATGTCAATATGTAAAGATGCATGATGCGGTTTGAAAAAAACTCCTGACCCAACTCCTCCTCCTGACTCTGAATTGAATTTTTAATTTAACAAACCAGTTTTACATAGTTATCTGCAATATTTTCGCCAATACCAATAAATCTGCCAATAACGGCAATAAAACATTTGGTAATCATTCGCTATGGTAATGCACACTGACACCCCAACAAAGCACAACACATACAAACACAAGAAAATTAAAGAGTCTGCTCAACTCACCTGTGGATACTGCCGTCGTCCCCTGCACTGGGACCACACGATGATCATCAAGACAACATTGGCCAGTCCCGAGACGATGAATAAAAATGTGAAAACCAGATCTGGAAAAATCAAATGGAAGACATTGTTTTGGTCAGCAAATAGGCAACAAGGGGAATAAGCTAATAATGAGCAATGGAGGTCCAGACTTACTTTTTGATTTCAGGGCTTCAACTTCTCCCATTCTTGGGCAGGTTTTTCCATTATCTACTAAAACAAAATAAAAAATAATCCAATCAATCTTTTTTGCACACAAAAATGGTACATTTTTTTTTGAGTAAAACAGTCAGATTACCTTTGTAAGAAAAAGTCTGGGTTAACAAAACGAGCTTCATGCATGAAGCACATTAAGAACAGGTGGAACTTCCGTTTATCCCCAGAGTACCTGACATTAATTACGTAAAGCTGTAGCGAGTTAGGGAAGGAGCGCAAACAGCTTGAACAATGACCTTCTCCAGCGTGAGAGGGAAAGACGCTGGTTTCTGCGCTACACGCTGAGAGGGAACAAGGCATACCAGGGACTACATCAACAAAACAGACTTCGATGGTGGTTTGGCCAATGATAATATGCAAACAGGCGAGTGTTTGTGTCTCCCTGAGAGACTTGGGTTTCCCGGTCAGTGTGCGTCAAACTCTATCCAGGCCAGCATTACAGCTTTCACATGTGCAGAATAGCCAAAAACTTTTTTTATTTTATGCACAACAGACCAAACACAGAGTATTTGAATACAAAAAATAAAACATTGAACATTCCCATTAATACTTATTCAACACTGCCACAATCAAAACAGACAAACTTCATCACTCCAGGATTCCGAAAAGTGTTCAATGAAGATTGACTGCAACACATCCCAAACATGCTCTACACTCCAATATACTCCTACATCCAACATCTGTTTTGTGGGCTTCCTGCTTCCCTGCTGTTCAGACGTTTCTCTAAATCTCTGATCTCAGATCTTTCATTGCTCCTTGAGGTTTCAAAACACATGGGCTGTCAGAATTGTTACAGACTTCTACAAAATAAATGACAATTTTGGAAGCAGGTTTTTGGAGCTTGTTTTTGAAGTTTAGTGACTGGCAGAAAAGAACAATGGGTTCACACTGGTTCCAAATTCCAGAGGTTTTCAAAAGAGCTTCACTATTCCGATTCGATCCAAAGGTGTTCAACAGAGCTTCACTATTCCTATTCAACCCAAAGGTGTTCAGCAGAGCTTCACTATTCCTATTCAACCCAAAGGTGTTCATCAGAGCTTCAACATTCCAGTTCAACCCAAAGGTGTTCAGCAGAGCTTCACTATTCCTATTCAACCCAAATGTGTTCATCAGAGCTTCAACATTCCAGTTCAACCCAAAGGTGTTCAGCAGAGCTTCACTATTCCTATTCAACCCAAATGTGTTCATCAGAGCTTCAACATTCCAGTTCAATCCAAAGGTGTTCAATTGAGCTTCAACGTTCCTATACAGCTCAAAGGTGTTCAGCAGAGCTTCAACATTTCAACTTATCCTACAGGTATTCAATTAAGCTTTACTACTCCAACTTATCCAAAAGGTTTTCAATGGAGCTTCATCACTTCACCTCATTTTACAGCTGTTCAATGGAGCTTCACCACTCCAACTCATCATCCAACAGGCACTTATTCAAGAAATAACAGGGTGTTTTATTGACAATAAAGATGCTGAAAGTGCCTATTTACTGTTAGGTACAGGTGAATCTGTCATATGGCTGACCTGAAATGGTGAAGCTGACACACCTAAATGACACAAGAAAAACTTTTCCCAAAACCAATTCTGCTAAATTTTTATTATGTATACAGTTGTTCTTTAAAAAAATGTGCTGCAATGGGTTCTTCGGCCATAAAAAGAACCACTTTTATTTCCCTAAAGAACCAGATAAAACTTAAACACTCATGTGTACAAATGGATCTCCAAAGTACCATCCACTGAAATGTTATTTATGGAACCAAAAATGGTTCTCCTACAGCAGTGCAAAGAACCCTTCTTGCCACTTTGATTTTTAAGAGTGTATATGCAAAGCAAATAGACATTTTGCCATTTACACTGTCGCTCATGTTAAGCAAGTTGAAGATTCTCCACAAGAGGGAGCTATTTGTACATTTCAAGTACACTTGTGCATCATTGAAAGAGAGGAAACTGGCATAAAACCCTCAACAACTGAATGTCACCAATGTATGAAATGTTTGCACATTTCAACACCTGAAGCAAAACAGTTCATTACCTGAAGGTATTAGTTAGTTAGTTAATTAGTTAGTTAGTCTCCTTTAAATGATTTAATGCTTCAATCAGTGAATATAAAAAAGCAGATAGATTAAACTTAAAAGAAAAAGTAGGTGCACTGCAGCAGATGGTAAATGTGTATTTGGGGTGCGCTTTGGTGGCAATGTAATCGATAATATCTCAGCGAAAAAATATTTTGGGCCTGGCTGCAAATTCATAAATGAAGACTGAGAGGCACTTACTGATAGTTTCGTAATTGGTAGTAGAAGACGGAGAAGGAGTTGAAGGATCTTAAAACAAACAAAAACACAAATAATGTAGAGAAAGTCAATCATCTGTGGTTAAAGAATAAAGCTCTTGTGTATATAAATGCCTAGAAATCAAAATGATGTGAGATTAATGTGATTGTGATTATATTGCCAGTATTAAGTGAGTTTGCACATTTTCACTACAGTTGCTGAAAATATATGTACAGAATGAAACAATATGTAAATCATAAAACCCTATATTTAATTGAAAATAGTACAAAGACAACATATCAGACTTTAAAACTGAGAAATTTTATTGTTTTTTAAAAAAAATGATGTCCATTTGGAATTGACGCCAGCAACATGTTTCAAGTCGGGACGGGGCAACAACAGACTGCTAAAGTTGTGTAATGTTTCAAAAAAACCCTGGTGGTTAACTGGCAACAAGTCAGTAACATGACTGGGCATAAAAAGAGCCTCCCAGAGAGGCTGAGTCTTTCAGAAGTAAAGATGATGATGGGTTCAACACTTTGTGAAAGACTGCACAAGCAAATAGAGCAACAATTCGAGAATAACTCAAGAGTTTCTCAACATAAAATAGCAAAGAACTTGAGGATTTCATTATCTACAGCACATAATATCATTAAAGATCTCTGTATGTAAGGGACAAGGCCAAAACTAATATTAGCTGGCCGTGATCTTTGGACCCTCAGGCAGCACCGCATTAAAAACAGACATGATTCTGTACTGGAAATCACTGCATGGGCTCAGAAACACTTCTGAAAAACACTGTCTGTGAGAACAGTTCATCACTGCATCCACAAATGCAAGTTAAAACTCTAAATCGCAAAGAAGAAACCATAAATAAACAGGATCCAGAAACACCGCCGTCTTCTTTGGGCTTGAGCTCATTTAAGATGGACAGAGGCAAAGTGGAAAAGTGTCTTTTAGTCCAGCAAATTAAAATTTTAAATTCTTTTTAGAAATCATGGACACTGCATCCTCTGGGCTAAAGACCACTCAGCTTGTTATCAGCGCACAGTTCAAAAACCAGCATGATGGGATAGGGGTGTATTAGTGCACATGCCATGGGTGACTTACACATCTATTAAGGCACCATTAATGCTAAATGATATATATAAGTTTTGGCAACATATGCAGCCATCCAGACGACGTCTTTTTCAGGGAAGGCCTTGAATATTTCAGCAAGACAATGTAAAACCACATTCTGCACATATTACAACAGAATGTAAAAGAGTCCAGGTGCTAAACCGACCGGCCTGCAGTCCAGACCTGTCAGCCACTGAAAACATTTGGCGGATTATGAAATGAAAAATATGACAAAGGAGACACTGAACTGTTGAGTAGCTGAGATCCTGTATCAAGGAAGAATGGAAGAACATTTCGCTTTCAAAACTACAGCAGTTGGTCCTCCTCAGCTCCCGAACGCTTACAGAGTGTTGTTAAAAGAAGAGGTGATGAAACACAGTGGTAAACCGTCCCAACTTTTAGAAATGTGTTGCTGGCATCAAATTTAACATGCGCATTATATATATATATATATATATATATATATATATATATATATATATATATATATATATATTTCATATGTTGTCTTTTTACTATCTTCAATTTAATATAGAGTTTACATGGTTTGTACATCATAGTGTTCTGTTTTTATCTGCATTTTTCACAGTGTCTCAACTTTTTTGGAAATAGGGCTTTATACATACTAATTATTTTTGGTGATAAATATCTTACCATTAGATACAGTTCGATCTGTCATATGGCTTAATTGAGATGTTGAAGCTGACGCACCTAAATGACACGAGAAAAACTTTTATATATCACCATCAATTTTGCTTCTGTTTTTCACTATATATGCAGTTGTTCTTTAAAATAATGTGCTACAGAGGGTTCTTTGACCAATGCTATAAAAGGACTTTTGCCTCCCTAAAAGCATATTTGTTAGAGATTTCTGCACGTGAAGAACTTTAAAAAAGGTTCAAAAGTTGTTTACTGATTTAACTTTTTTTAAGAACCTTTACATGTTGAGGAAGTTCTTTATACTTTAAAAAAGTTCTTCACACTCACAAATCGTATGTGCACGAATGGATCTTCAAAGTACCATCCAATGAAACGTTCTTTAGGGAACCAAAAATGGTTCTCCTATAGCAATGTGCGAAGAACCCTTTTTGCCTCTTTTGTTTTTAAGAGTGTATATGCGAAGCAAATAGACATAACTTTGCCATGTATGCCCTCGATCACATTAAGAAGGGTGAAGATTCTCCACAAGAGGGCACTATTAGCACTGAAGTACATTTCTGTGCATCATTGAAAGAGAGGAAACTGGCATAAAACCCCCAACAGCTGAATCTCACCAATGTATGAGTGTTTGCAGTCATACATTTCAAAACCTGAAGCAAAATAGTTCAATAGCTCAAATTTTTATTGAATCAGTGAATATAAAAAAGCATATACGCTAAACTTAAAAGAGAAAGCAGGTTTATGCTGCGGCAGGTGGCGTATTTGGGGGGTCACAAGCGTGGCAATGTAATCGATAATAACAAGAAAATAATCCAGGTAATTAATAAGAACGCTGGGAGAGGCACTTACTGATGCTTTGGTGATTGGTAGTAGAAAATGGAGTGGAAGTCATTGGATCTTAAAACAAATACAAAATGTAGTGAGAGTCAGTCATTGGTGGATAAAGAATAGACCTCTTAAGTTAATCCAGATGCCAAATGAATGAAAATGATGTCACTACAGTTGCTGAAAGCGTTTATATACACTAATTTTTGGGGTTAAATATCCTACCATTAGGTACAGGTGAATCTGTCATCTGGCTGACTTGAAATGGTGAAGCTGATGCACCTAAATAACATGAGAAAAAACACCAATTTTGCTACTGCTTTTATTATGTATGCAGTTTTTTTTAAATTGTTTTTTTTTGCCCAATGCCACAAAAGAGCCACTTTTGCTTCCTTAAAGAACCACGTTTGTTGAAGAAACTTTAAAAAGGTTCTTCACATTCACACATCTTATGCGCACAACCAGATCTCCAAAGTACCATCCACTGAAATGTTCTTTAGGAAACCAAAAATGGTTCTTTTATAGCATTGTGCTAAGAACCTTTTTTCCCACTTGTATTTAAGAGTGTATATGTGACACAAATGGATATGACTTTGCCAATTATGCCCTCAGTCATGTTAACCAGGGTGAAGATTCTCCACAAGAGGGAGCCACTGGCACTCGAGGACATTTCTGTGCATTATTGAAAGAGAGGAAACTGGCATAAAATCCTCAACAGCTGAATGTCTGCAATTACAAATTTAAAATTCTTAAATTTTTAATGTGTCATTTTCATTAAATCAGTGAATACAAAAAAAAAAGCATACAGGCTAAACCAAGATGTAGGTCTATGCAGCAGCAGGTGGTGTATGTGTGTTTGGGTGGGTCACGTTGGCGGCAACCTAACTGATAATATTTAAACAAGAAAATAATGTAGGCCTAACTGTCAGTTCATCAATAATGTCGGGGGAGACACTTACTGATGCTTTGGTAACTGGTAGTAGAAGATGAAGTGGGAGTCGATGGATCTTAAATACAAAACGTAGTGAGAGTCAGTCATCAGTGGGTAAAGAACACACTACTTTAGTGAATCTAGATGCCTAAAAAACAAATTTATGTGTGATTATTGTGATTATTATATTACCAGTATAAAGTGAGTTTGCACATTTTCAACAAATAAGAGGGCGCTTTAGTTTTGAAAAGTTTGAAAAGTTTAAAAGTTGAAAGTTTGTGCGTGGCACTAAAATTTATATATTTTTGCAACAAGTAAATAAGGTGATAATCCAGACCTAACCGTCAGTTCATAAATAATGTTGGTTCAGGTACGTACTGATGCTTTGGTGACTGGTAGTAGAAGATGGAACGGTGGTCGATTGGTCTTAAAACAAACAAACAAACAAACAGGTACTAAGAATCAGTCATCACTGGGTAAGAAACACAGCTCTCAAGTGAATCTAGATTCCTAGAAATCAAATTTATGTGTAATTAATATGATTAGTAGATTATTAGTATGATACAAATATGCCCACTTCAAAAAATCAGAGGGTGCTTTAACCCTTTACTGCATGTCGTTACCATATGGCAACAACTACTTTCTTCAAATTTATTTACCTGTCTAGAGAATAAAGGTCTGTCCGGTATACATTTTTTCAGGTCTATTATCTGAAGCTCAAAATTCAATATTTATACACAATTACGTCAAGACAACACAATCTGTGGGAAGTTACAATGTCTTTTTATAGTAAAAACCTGTTCAGAAGATATGAAGTTTGTATAAATTGATCAAATATAATCGTTGCCATTTGGCAACAGGATGCGACAATGAAACACTTTACCTAAACCTGCCTACATAACACTGACATAACCATCCCCCAAACAGGTTGGGACAGATTTTGTTCAGTAATATAACATTATGTAAGCATTACTGGTAATTGTTATGACAGATGTTATTATGACGGCTCATGTTGTGCTAATGTTGTGCTAATTTTTGCTGTGTACTCTAGTTACCTGCCATGACATCAAACATCATCCGTCATGTCAATGACAATTACACATAACAGTAACAAGACACATGTGATATTACTGAACAAAATCTGACAGTGATATAACAGTGTCAGTGTTCTGAAACTGCAATCTGCAGTGCATATAATGAGAGCAGATGAACAAATTTTTCTCTTTCTCATTCTCTCTCATTCTAAATCTATCTAAGAAGTGTTATTCAGGAGGTCTCCTCGATGTCGTATTTGTCTTATTTATCTTAACTTCTGTATGGCCCCATCATGTGATTCAGTTGACTGCATATGAGACACAGCTTCATGTGTTATTAATGGTCTCTTAATTGGAATTGTAAATGGAATTTCTATAACAACAAATAAAACTTTTATAAATCAATACACATTTTTCTACTGTTTATTATTAATCCTGTTTAAAATTCATCTGTGCAGTATTGTACCACACTGTAAACCTGAGGCTGGCAAGCATGACTGTGTTTCTACTGGAAGTCAGAAGTAGAAAAGAAAGGTCTTCATTACTGTATGATCTGCAGTGTATGAGGAAAGGGTGAGAAATAACTTACAGGCAGTTACAGGTGTAGTGGTCACAGTGCTGGCTTGTACTGTTGAAGACGATGTGTCTATTATGCAGAAGAAAAATACATATAGTGCCCACATACAAACATATGTATACCTATGCAGCACAATGTACACGCAAACATATACATACATATATACACACATACGTACATTTTATTTATACACTGATCAGGCATAACATTCTGACCACCTCCTTGTTTCTACGCTCATTGTCCATTTTATCAGCTCCACTTACTATATAGGTGCACTGTGTAGTTCTACAATTACAGACTGTAGTCCATCTGTTTCTCTGCATACTTTGTTAGCCCCCTTTTACCCTGTTCTTCAGTGGTCAGGACCCCATGGACCCTCACAGAGCAGGTACTATTTGGGTGGTGGATCATTCTCAGCACTGCAATAACACTGACATGGTGGTGGTGTGTTAGTGTGTGTTGCGCTGCTCCGAGTGGATCAGACTCATGTTGTGCTAATTTTTGCTGTGTACTCTAGTTACCTGCCATGACATCAAACATTATCCAGAGCTGCTGGAGTTTTTAAACACCTCAGTGTCACTGCTGGACTGAGAATAGTCCACCTACCAAAAATATCCAGCCAACAGCGTCCTGTGGGCAGCGTCCTGTGGGCAGCGTCCTGTGACCACTGATCAAGGACTTGAGGATGACCAACATAAACTGTGCAGCACCAGATGAGCTATCGTCTCTGACTTCACATCTACAAGGCGGACTGACAAGGTAGGAGTGTCTAATAGAGTGGACAGTAAGTGGACATAGTGTTTAAAAACTCCAGCAGCACTGCTGTGTCTGATCCACTCAGACCAGCACAACACACACTAACACACCACCACCACGTCAGTGTTACTGCAGTGCTGAGAAAGATCCACCACCCAAATAGTACCTGCTCCGTGAGGGTCCATGGGGGTCCTGGCCACTGAAGAACAGGGTAAAAGGGGGCTAACAAAGTATGCAGAGAAACAGATGGACTACAGTCTGTAACTGTAGAACTACAAAGTGCACCTATATAGTAAGTGGAGCTGATAAAATGGACAATGAGTGTAGAAACAAGGAGGTGGTCATAATGTTATGCCTGATCGGTGTATTTGTTTTATATATATATATATATATATATATATATATATATATATATATATATATATATATATATGAAAATGAAGATGCAAGGTTTTGTTCTAACAGCAGCGATATATACACACAAAATCATTTATGGGGTACTTTCTATTGGGAGGTGGCTGTCCCAAACCCTAACCCCTAAATTTGCACATTTTCCACTGATCTGTTTAAAGATCTTTCTGTTAAAGTGAAAAAAAATTGCTGTCTCACATTTCCTGTCACTACCGAAACACAAAAAGCTTTAGTGGCGTGCTATTTTATAGCAGGAAGTGAGGCTGCATCTCTTTTCCTTATGGCCACATCGTGAGTAGTTAGATCCCATTGTTCTGAAGTAAATGTCTGAAAGTCAATGTGTTTGCTAGTCATGTAGTGGTGTTTTGAGTTCTGTGCAAAATTAGCAAGAATGTTCACAACTGAAACATTTGGTAAAGTTTCGCTAGTGTTATGATTGATTTATTAGTGACAAAGTGGATCATTTAATCATTTATTTTAGTAAAATAAACATAATTAAGGTACAGTAGAAGGACTACTATAAAATCCTGTTGTATCAGTGCAGTGCTGCCTGCGATATCCACCCAGAAGTATGTTCATCGCTGCTTTGATGTAACACTGATTTGTCCTTTTGCCTTTGCTGATTGAGTATAAATTTTGCGCTTAGCATGTGGGCTGAAATCTTAGCACTTCGCTGACAATTTTATATCTTATTTCACCACACAGAATATTTGGTGGGTCAGAGGGCAAGCACTACATGCGGGTCCAGGCAAAAAACAGCTTTGTTCAAGACAACGAGATCGGATGAAAGAACAAAGCGGAGTTTCACAGAAATCTCTCCTGCTGGCCAGATACTTATTCTTAGAAATACAGCCCATTAACCCCGTGTCTCTAGAGATTTCAATAAAGTCCATTAACCTCTTGAGCTCTAGAGATTTCAATGAAGTCACACATTGTGCTCAGATTTGGCAACAGCCAGGAACCCAACCATTCCTCATCCAAGACCTTCTTGGTTTTGATGCTGTAAATAACTATTATCATTGTTTATCTGGGCTAGAATACTTTCTTTTGTCTAATGCTGAATTTTAGGAGAATCATCATTAAGTCTCCTGAGCCATCAAGGACTTAATTTGAGCAATAACATTTTCATCTGGGATGGTGACACTCAGAAGCCCCTATTTGACTCAGCAATGTGTCAACAACATGCATTAGCAGAATAACATGAGACACATCCTGCATAAATCCAAAACAACATGAATATTTTTCTAATTATTTCAAAGTTACTTACCCTGCGGAGATGGACAAGCTGATGTCAAGGAAAAGACAAAAAGAAAAAGAGAGTTTTTGGGGTTAGACTCTTAGGATCCGTCATTTAGATTTGGAAAAAGATGATATTGGATCATTTATCACTTTTTGACATTATAAGATCCATACCTGGAAATGTTCCATTCCAGTGACACGTCTCATAATACATGCTCTGAAGATCTTTTGGGCTGAGATCTTTAGTGCTGTATGAAAAGTTGCATGCATGTTTCCGACAATGCTGCTCAACAGTAGATCTATTACGTGTTTCATTGCCTAGCTGAAAAGACAGAAGAGACAGATAAGTTTGAGAAGTGAGCATCGAATTCTTGAGTGTAGTGACCTTCTGCATGTGTCTCACATCAGAGACGCAGAACTAGCAAGCAATATACTTACATATAAACTCAGAATAATTCGATATGAATGCATGAGTTTCTCCCTGCTTTCTTCCTTTGTTTCGCTGTCTTCACTACTCTCATTATTTCCAGTGTCATAGTAATCCTTGTTTTCAAGCCAGCTTAAACAGAGCATGTTGAAGATGGAGAGAGCTGTGTACTCGGGCTAAAAGAAGGAAGCACATATAAAACACACAAAAAATGTATAATCTGGCATATTTTAGAAATACTGCAATAATTAAAGTTAAAAATAGTTTTGAAGTGAAATTAGTACAAATAATTCCACTTTGCTGTGTGTAAAAGCCTTAATTATGGCTATAATGTTAATTATGCATTATTTACAATCTTCTGTTTCATCCTACCTTGGTCTGCTCGAAAGGATGTTGGAAATTCTTGATCCTATACAAATAATCCATTAATAAATTGTCAGTCTATGAAAAACAAAAAACACAAACACGAGCGAATGTAACATCAGGGATTAACCACGAACCAAATACATAAATACCTATATAGACACATCAATATAATACAAGCAATCCTCATGCAAAATGTTTAACATGTTTAAATAATTGCTAACGTTTTATTTAAAGGGTACCCACACATGCATGAGCACTGAATAAAGTGTTTATAAAGAGTGTTCTTAAATGATTCTGTATGGATGTATGGTTTTATAAAAGGGCTTTACTGAAGGGCAGCAGTCCTAAGACTGTGTTTGCCAGTACTGAAGTTGACATAACACCTGCACTATATGGCCAAAAGTATATTGACATCCCCCCTTATGTTTAAGTTCAGGTGTTTCAGCCACACCCATTGCTAACAGGTGTATAAAATCAAGCCCATAGCCATGCAGTCTTCATAGACAAACACTGGCAGTAAAATAGGTTGCAGTGAAGAGCTCACTGACTTCAAACAGATGACGCCTTTGCCACAAGTCAGCTCGTGAAATTTCTGCCCCGCTAGATCTGCCTCGGCCAACTGTAAGTGTGAATCTGGGAGCAACAACAGCTCAGCTGTGCTGAAGAATGTAGCCTCTGGAACAACATCAGCACAGGAACTGTGTGTCGGGAGCTTCATCAAAAGGGTTTTCATGGCTAAGCAGCTGCACACAAGTCTAAGAGCCCTATACGCAATGCCAAGCGTCAGCTGGAGTGGTGTAAAACACACTGACACTTGACTCTGGAGCGGTGGAAACACTGAGCTTCTAATGTACATGCCTACGTTTTTGGGCGGATGCAAGTTGAACGCTACCTACTTTGCTGGAGGGGGGGATAATGGTCTGGGGTTATCTGTAAGGGTTTGGGCCCCTTAGATCCAAAGAATGGTAATGTTAACACTACTGTAACATCTATTTCTCTGTATACTTTGTTAGCCCCCTTTTACCCTGTTCTTCAGTGGTCAGGACCCCCATGGACCCTCACAGAGCAGGTACTATTTGGGTGGTGGATCATTCTCAGCAATGCAGTAACACTGACGTGGTGGTGGTGTGTTAGTGTGTGTTGCGCTGGTCCGAGTGGATCAGACACAGCAGTGCTGCTGGAGTTTTTGAACACCTCAGTGTCACTGCTGGACTGAGAATAGTCCACCAACCAAAGATATCCAGCCAACAGCATCTTGTGGGCAGCATCCTGTGACCGCTGATGAAGGACTAGAGGATGACCAACACAAACTGTGCAGCACCAGATGAGCTATCGTCTCTGGCTTTACATCTACAAGGTGGACTGACAAGGTAGGAGTGTCTAATAGAGTGGACAGTGAGTGGACACAGTGTTTAAAAACTCCAGCACCACTGCTGTGCCTGATCCACTCAGACCAGCACAACACACACTAACACACCACCACCATGGCAATGTTACTGCAGTGCTGAGAATGATCCACCACCCAAGTAATACCTGCTCTGTGAGGGTCCATGGGGGTCCTGACCGGATAACAAAGTATGCAGAGAAACAGATGGACTACAGTCAGTAATTGTAGAACTACAAAGTGCACCTATATAGTAAGTGGAGCTGATAAAATGGACAATAAGCGTAGAAACAAGGAGGTGGTCAGAATGTTATGCCTGATCGGTGTACATTTACACCAAAGGGCAACTGAGCATCTCCAACTCGCCTGACTGCATGTCTCTGGACTGTGAAAGGAAACCCATACAGATCTAGGGAGAACATGCAGAAAGTACCCCTGGTCGCCCAGCCAGGGAATCAAACCCAGACCCTTCTTGCTGGGAAACAGCAGCACTACCTGCTGCACCACCACTTTAGACAACGACATACTTTCAAATTTGTGGCAACAATTCAAGGAAGATCGGCACAGAGCCCAGACCTACACCCCACCAAACTGTTTGGAAATGAATTGGAATGTTGATTGCGAGCCAGGCCATTCTGTCTAACATTAGTGCTTGACCTCACAAAGCTCTTTTGAATTAAATGGCACAAATTCCCACATACACACTCCAAAATCTTGTAGAACGCCTTAGGAGAATAGTGGAGGCTGTTAAGCCACAAGGGGGGCATACTGATACCTATGATTTTGGAATGGGATGTCCAAAAAGCTCATATTAGGTGTGAAGGTCCACATACTTTTGGCCGTATTGTGTAAGTCAGTTAAAAGAGATCAGGTAGTGTAATGACAAGTTCTGGGATGAAATAACATACTACATTATGACTACTGATATTATGTCTCAGTGAATGTCACAGTGACATCATGCTGATATGTGACATTATAAAGCAGTATGTAGCATTATTACAGCATTATGTCAGTGTGATTTCACCCAAGAACATATCATGACAAAAACCAATGCCAGAAAAAAACAATGACCTGATCTGACAGATGACACCTTTTGGAGTAAGTGTTTATAAATATTAAACTAATTTTTGAACATTTTTGAACGTGTTGTTATGAATAAATTCAGATGCCTGAGAGCTCTGAAGTGTCACAGTGACATGAAATAAAGCAGGAGATATCCATTCATTTCATGGACTTTTTCAATATAATAAAGATGTGAACATGCATTTTAAATCCCTGTTTAATGTACAGATGGTCTCTTGTGAGTAGCCCCTTCTTATCCACCCAGCGCTGCTAATGGTGGTTTACTTTCACTTCCACATGCTAGGCTTAGTGTGTGTCCAGACATTTGCAGCTTGTAATACATTTTCATACTCTGTACACTGCAGTTCAGTTTTAGACTACTGCAACTTCTTCTATACCAGGGGGCGGCAAGCCAAATGTTAAGAAAAGCCATTTTGTCCTTTCAACAAAAATCAAACCACCTTGGGAGCCACAACACTTTATGTCCATTTTACCATCTTGGCTGTAAATATGTCTCAGCTGATGTTCTAATATAGGCTAAAAAATATAATAGAAATGAAAACGCAGACTCACTTTGCTCTGCTATAGCTGCTTTTCTCACATCTCCGACAGGAAACTTTTCCACAAAAGCAGAATAGTTTCTTGTAAAATGTCTCTTAACGTTCGACTTTTTACGAGGCTGAAGTCGCTTCTCATTCGCCATCTTCTTGTTCGAATTTTCCCGTTCCACCTTAAATGGTGTCTGAGGTGCCAGAATGTAACTGCTGCACCATTTAAGGTGGAACGGGAAAATTCAAAAGAGAAGCTGAATTAGCTTTGCAACATTTTAGTGTTTGACAGTTTCTCGTTGCAGATTAAACATATCAGGAAACCGGTTGGAGTGATAATCATCAACATTATCCCCCTAAATGGCCGGGACTCAAAGGTGGGTCTAAAGTTTTACTACACACTTCTACAACCTATGAATCACTCAGGCAGTTTGCAATGTAGTCCACGTTGTTACTGAATAAAAAGCCTTGGTGTGTAATAAGCCTGAGATTTTAGGAGGTTAAGGTACTCGGAACAGAGGAAGACCGGGTCATGCCTACTTCCAAGTAAAAATACTTTAGTAGCACGTTTACACATTATTAAAAGTGGACTCGGTTTTTCAATGATTAATAAAAATGCTCTGATGGTCCTTTAATTATTAATAATGAGACACTTACCACGTGATTTTTAAAACTGCCTTGGATGCACTTGGCTTCACAAACACCCAAGCTCAAATGAAATCCCTGTGAAAAGAGAGCAAAGAGCTGTCAAAAGTCAAAAGTTATGCAGTTGCATGCAAAAGTTTGAACACTCCAAATACAACTACGTTTTGTTTATTTTCTAAGTAAAATTTCAGTGCAAAATATTTATTTACTTGCTTAATTTAGTGCATTTTAATATATTAAATGTTCCATAACTCTTCAACATTTTATGTTTTATTCTTTACCGATATGTTATGTTCAGCAAATAAACAATAACTGTGCACTGAAATGTGCAAAAGTGTGTTCTCTGTAGTGGATGTGTTCACTTACTTTCACTTAGAAAAACAATAAAAAGGTTGTAATTTGACCAGGGGAGCTTAAACTTTTTCATAAGATGGTATATGGTATATAACCTAAGAGGTGCATATAAGTTCAAGTTCTAACTATCAAATATAAACGAATCTATAGCACCACAAATAGTGAGGTCCTCGATTTGGACCCATGCACATACATACACAGGCAAAAATGCTGGCAATGTTAGTACGAATCACTAACGTGAGAGAACTGGAAGCTAATGTGATTAAACAACAGATCACAGGGTGACAGAGACGTGAGATGTCTGTGTGAGACATGGAAGAGGCAGAATGTGAACTCACAACCAAAAGAGTTGAGTAGGCCCAAGTTTTGATACTCATTCCGCCAACGTGGTAACCATCAAAGCTCATGTCCTCATGGTTCTGTGTGCCTGCAGATAATGGACGGAGGGAGCAAAGGAGAGATGCAGATGACCAAACACGTTAACTTCCCCAATAGAACACAAAATAACACTCAAAATCAACAGAAAATATTTCAGATAAAACGTTTCTGCCATTCAGAGGGTTATAATGGTATGTTTGAGTTCATTTTTAAAAGGAGGCTAAGACTCAACTCTATTTTTTTGGTGTTCAAAATGTCTTGATTCTACAGAGCTCTGATTATACACTGCACAGATTGGTTTGTCTCAGATTAATAAAGGCTCTCCAATATAAATGTACAAATATAAATGCTATGCTTAATAAAGTAAACCATAAAAACCATAAAAAGCTCTTTTATGGAGCCCTGCTGGTGACATCCCATATAAATAAAAATAACGTGTGGCCACGACTTAGTAAGGCTCGGAAATGAGATAAATAAGTTGTTGCCACAACTTAGTAAGGCATGGGAACGAGATCATGCCTTACTAAGTCGTGGCCACACATTAAGATCTCATTCCCATGCCTTACTAAGTCGTGGCCACAACTTAATTATCTTGTTCCCATGCCTTACTGAGTCGGGCCCTCACATTTTTGTTTATACAGGATGTGACCAGTAGAGCTCCATACTCCTCAGTCAAAAAAAGTCCAGTCATTTGAGTGAGTGTGCATGAGTAGCATAGGCTCTGCCCCCTCCCCGCCCACTTAACTCTGACAGGGTGCATCCAGATGCAGGGGGTACTGCCATCCCCCTAGTCTCTCACCCAATAAGAGAATTTATTTCTATACCATATATGAATTTTATACAATATATGAATTTTTATACTATATCTGAATTCTTATTGTCCTTTTAAAATGCTCTTTCTGAAGTATTTTAGTAATAAAATATTGTCCAATATTATAAAATTCTTCGATTTGAGTTTAACCCAACTTCTACAATCATATTCGTGTCATTTTGGCTCTTAGCCCACCATAAACGCTGGACTTTCACTGCCCAAGACATGGCTGGGGACCTTTGGCCTAAACCGTTACACCCTCAACACTTCAAGGTGAAAACATGTCTTTTAAGTTGAGGATATTATTTTATATTACTGCACAGTCATTATAAGGCAACATACAGTCATATGCAAAATGTGAACAACATGAAATAACATGAAATGACATGAAATGAGTGCACAATTTTTATCATTCTATTTATTTCCTAAGATTAACCTATTGGAAATAAACATAAAAATATAAAATGTACCATAACTTTTATAGAGATCAATATGTTAAATTCCACAAATAAACAGCAACTGTGCTTTAAAATGTGTTCTTTGTAGAGAAAAATGTGTTCACTTATTTTCAAATCATGCCTTTTGACCAGGGGCACCTAAACACTTGGTATACATCTGCAAATAATAGCAATTCCAATAAATTAATCCCGTATGCAACTGTTGTAAAATCTGTTGTGATTGCACTTCAGGAGAGGCTGGGCTTTATGTGACTTACAGTCAAATGCAAAAGTTTAAGCCCCCCCTCCAGCAAACTTCATGTTGATTTTCTAATTGAAAATTGAACTGAAAACATCCTCAACACAGAACACACTTAAATATGGCATTTTTATGTAAATTTCAGTGCACAATCTGATGAGTTCAGCATATTGAAGGGAAACAAATTAAACAAAGTGTGCCATAACTTTTGCACAGGCCACACCTTCCGTTTTACTTTTTTCCAACATGTTAAATTCAGCAAATAAACAGAAACTGCATTAAGCTGTGCAGAAGTGTGTTCACGGTAGAGGACGTGTTCACTTTCACTTAGAAAATCAATAAAACAAACATGTCATCTGACCAGGGCGGCTCAAACATTTGCATAAAGCTGTATTTGTTTTATTAAAAAAAATACATTTACAGCTGCGCAAAAACTGAGCTCAGCTGTCACTGCAGAGGATTTGTTGCTGGTATTCCAGAATGAGTCATTCTTGCTCCTTTCCTATTCAGACAACAGCAAGACCACCGTGTTCACTGTGTCCACTCTGAAAATCAGGACTAAACATTAACAATATGGGCCAGACGTGCAGCCAATGCATTTAGGGACGTCCCTAAATTCACTATAAATACTAGTGCAGGCACCAGAAGCTTTTCTGCAGGGATACCTTCATATTCTGGCTCCCCTTAATAACCGCAGTGAATCATAATACTGGCTAGCTGCAAGGGCATATCCTGTTCCAAGAACTGTGCAAAACAAAGACATCTTGGTTCACATTAGACCAGAGGTGCTGAAATGGCCAAAGTTGGCACATATGGAAGTTACCCCAACCCTACCTGCCTCATTTAGAGAGAACAAACACATTTAACTTACTGAATTCTTAGTTTACTATTAAATTTGTATTTTTTAAAGATTTTTAGTAAAAAACATACAGAGTATGATATTATAAACATGATTTGAATCCCACCTACCAGTATAAACAAACAAATATTTGTATTTGCATATATGTGTGTTTTGCTTTGTCTTAGCATAAGCCTAGTCTGAATATGAATATACCCATGCTGTAGTCCACTGGAACAAGACCTATTATCTACAAATTGGTAACTTTTACACTATAAACTTTACATTTCCAAGCACAACTCATTTCCAAAAAAGTCTGGACGCAAATCATTTAAACCCTGTATTTCATTGAAAACAGTACAAAGACAACAAATCAAATGTTAAAACTTAAAATTTTATTGTTTTTTGAAAATATATATGCCCATTTTGAATTTGATGCCAACAACATGCTCCAAAAAAGTTGGGATGGGGGCATGTTTACCGCTGTGTTGCATCACCTCTTCTTTTAACAACACTCTGTAAGTGTTTGGGAACTGAGGAGACACTGCTGTAGTGTTGAAAGTGAAATTTTTTTCCATTCTTGTTCGATATAGGATTTCAGCTGCTCAACAGTTCGGGGTCTGCTTTATTATATTTCATAATGTGCGAAATAATACAGAGCAAAGCTGTTGTAATTGGTGCAGATTGTTTGAAATAATCAAGGCCTTCCCTGAAAAAGACATCATCTGGATGGCAGCATATGTTGCCAAAAGATGTATATATCATTCAGCATTAATGGTGCCTCCACAGATGTGCACGTCACGCTATGCTATACGCATTAATGCACCCCTATATCATCATGAATACTGGCTTTTAAACTGTGCACTGATAACAAGCTAAGTGGTCTTTAGCCTGGAGGACACAGTGTCCATGATTTCCAAAAAGAATTTCGGTTGATTTGTCGGACCAAAGGACATTTTTCCACTTCACCTCAGTCCATTTTAAATGAGCTCAGGCCCAGAGAAGGTGGCAGCATTTCTGGGTCCTGTTTATATATGGTTTCTTCTTTGCATTTTAGAGTTTTAACTTGCATTTGTGGACGCAGTGATGAACGGTGTTCACAGACAGTGTTTTCTGACATTTTCCTGAGCCCATGCAGTGATTTCCACTACAGAATCATGTCTGTTTTTTAAAGCAGGGCTGTCTGAGGGCCCAAAGATCACGGCCAGCAAATACTGGTTTTTGGCCTTGTCCCCTGCATACAGAGATGTCGCCAGATTCTCTGGATCTTTTATTGTTATTCTGCACCGTAGATGATGAAAAGCAAATGTTCTTTGCTATTTTATGTTATTCTTGAAATGTTGCACTATTTGATTGTGTAGTCTTTCACAGAGTGGTGAGCCCCTCCTCATCTTCACTTCTGAAAGACTCAGCCTCTCTGGGATGCTCTTTTTAATAATCAATCATGTTACTGACCTGTTGCCAATCAACCACCAGGTGTTTTTTTTAGCATTACACAAATTTACCAGCCTTTGTGGCTGCCATTTCAACTTTTTTGGAACGTGTTGTTGGTATCAAATTCAAAATTGGCATAGATTTTAAAAAAAAAACAAAACAAAACAACATTTCTCGGTTTCAACATTTAATACATTGTCTTTGTACTATTTTCAATGGACTACATGGTTTAAATGATTTGCACATCACTGCATGTTGTTTTTATTTACATTTTGCACAGCATCCGAACTGTTTTGCAAATGGGGTTGTAATTCTAGACTATTTCTGTTCACTATGAGTTTTAGACATCTGAAAAATGATATTTAAAAAAGCTGTTCAAGTGGGCAGTCAGCGTTTAGTTACTTAAAAAACTCTTCATGTTAAAAAAATGATTTTATATCAATGATTTTATATCAATGTGTACACTTAATCCTTTCCAAACCTCCCTCGAGGAAGCCCTGCTTTACATCTGGTTGTCATCCAACATCTACTTTATCTACGCAATCCTTCAGCCACTTAAGAAAAATCTGAAACCAAAACCGTATCCTTCCAACCAGCTCCAAAGATAGCAACTACTTTTCCCTGAACAGGAAATTCTGCTTACTTTTAACTGCATTACTGTTTGTTAACATTCATTTGGCATTTGTTCATTTTCAACACTGCACGGTCTGAAGATGTTTTAAGGTAGAGACAATCTAATAAGCAATTATTGAAGAATCTTGCTGTGGTGACTAAAAAACATGGGCTAATGCACACTGTCTATCTTGTCTTTCTGACCAGCTTATGACATGAAAACGACTATTCTGACAAACAAGAAATTCCTGTTACTTTTTACGGCATTAATGTTTGTTTACATTGATCCAAATGTTACACTGTGCTTTTACTGGCAAAAACTGTTGCCGTTTTTCAGGTTTCGATGTGATTTAATAGTGCATGTTGCTCTTTACATTGTGTGTGAATTTCATGATGAACGAACCCAAAGAAATGGCCCCAAATGACTTGGAAAAACGTCGTGTTCCACTGACTTACATTAGAAGTAAAGCAAGTTTTTTCTGTCCTCTGTGAAGTTTTTGGAGATACGAGGTTTTGTTCCGACAGATGTTTTATGTTTTTTTTGTAAGTGTTAAACAGCAAATAAACAGAAACTGTGCAATAAAATTAGCAAAACATTCACACAGAGAATTTAAGCTATTAAGAAAATACATGTATATATACACACACACACATATATATTTATGTGCACATGCATACATATATATATATATGCATATATAAATATATATTTACACACATGCACATACAAATATATACATACAAGCATATATGAGGTCAAAGTTGTACCTATTAATGTGACATTGCACATTTAATGCCATTAGCCTCCGAGTAGCACGCAGACACCAACACCTCCCTCTGACTACGCAGCTCATCTGTGCTGAGACATAGCAGCGCTGCTGTTTCACACCCAGTTTGTTTGCTCCAGTTATTTTTTTGTGAATTTGTCTCTTTTCCATGTAATATTATTTAGTTCGGCACTGCACCAAATCCTGCACCTGGTTGATCTTCTGACTGATGAGAAACCTGGCAGGGACATACAAACTACTTACCTTTTTCTCAATGCGTGCCAAAAGCAGGCCAGTACGCGTGAGTTGGACCGGTCCGCAGCAGACGAGGCAGGTGTGAAAGCGCCCTGTGTGAGCGCGTCGGCGCTGTGTTAACGAGCGTACAGGTGAGAACGGCTCCCTGCTGAGCGCGCAGCCCCATCCAGCGTCCTTTCAGCCTCTCCTGTCATCTGCCCTCATGCTTGCTCAGGGCGGTTTGATTCAAGCGGCTTCCTTTTCTCCCAAAATCTCGGGTCCTCCTTCAGTGGCGCCGCTCACTGTCCGACTCTCGCCTGCTTCGCTGCACGCTGCATCATTTTACTTTCGGCTTTGAAGCTGCTCGCCGCTTTTTGACTCGAGCTGAGCTGCCTAGGGAAGCCCCCTTGTGCGCGAGACGGCCGTGTCAAAAAGGAAAAAAAATCCCCCAACAATCTCGCTCCATTCAGACCGCAGCACGGGCGAAATGGTAATTTCCCAAGAGCAATTCAACTCAGCGGTGACGTCTCTTTTCAACATGAAGGCTCTAGACTGCCTGTCCCCTCCACGCGCGTGCTGATCAAATGGCCAGTTTACTTTCACTTTCGATCCGCAGCGATAATGCAGCGCGACACTTTCACTGCACTCACTTTCAGCTCGCGCGCGTCGGTCTTTATGCTCAAACCTCGCTTTCGCTTCGATCTCGTGAAATAACGTCTATTAAAAATATGAACTTTTATTAATCAGGTGCTGATTCTAATTTATCACTACACACTTCCTAACAAGCCAAACCACCAGCTGGGTTGATATATTTTAAGGCTGGAATTTTCCGTTCCACCTTAAATGGTGAGTGACAGTTTAAACCCCATGTGTCAAACACAAGGCCCGCAGGCCAGATCAGGCCCGCCACACAATCCTATCCAGGCCGCAAAAGTATTTTAATTTTCTATTAATATTAGCCCGTTTCACAATGTGCTGCACTACGGTCCCCAGCATGCACTGCAACGTAATGCGCGCTTTAACTCTACTACCCTAACAGTCTACGGGGCAGCATTTACACCTCGCATCTGCACAATTCTACACCAGTCATGTCATCAAAATGCAGTTCAACCAACATAAACACCAAACGACAGCTCAGCAGCTCAGAAACCGAGCCCAAGTCTTAATGAACTTACAGCAAAGAAAGGATTCCAGGTGTCCAGTTCAAGCAGATAGGTAGGTTTAAAAGACTGAGCTCCTGAGGACATTTGTCTTTAGAATATTTCAAGTGTCCACGTAATACAAGTGTCTGTATTTTACTGTTGAAGTTTTTGCATATTTTGAATAAACAATGGCCAGTTCGGGTTACAGCACAACATTAATTAATAATGAAATAAAAACATTTTTTCCCTCTGGCCCACGGATTTGATTTTTTAATATGGCCCTTTCACTGGTTGAGTTTGACACCCCTGGTTTATATGGTGAGTTACATGCAACTGCTGCACCATTTAAGGTGGAACAGGACAGGCTAAATTTAGTGCCCCACTTTTTCTGGTCAAATCATGTTTTCTGTGTGTATCTCTATTCATAAGCAAACTAAGCTGATGCAGATCAGCTCTATTTCCTTCACTAAAACAGTAAAACCCATGTCATGCCAGATGATGTGATGTCAGGCTATTTATTTTCTTCTTTGTGCTAGCGGGTTTATTCTCAGGGTGTTTCCTCATTGTTTTCCCACATTTGTGCATGTTTGACAGCTTTAAAGCTTTCTACTAAAACATTCCTCAGGCATCTTGCTTTGCTTACTCTAGTGTGCATTACAAATTCAAGGCACAATTTCTGGAACATTCCTCCTTTTGTCAGATACGTGGTATCACAGACTCCGTCAAGTACCAGCAGATATTAAATCAAAACATGACTGCATCAGCCAGGAAACTTAAACTGGACCAGAGCTTGGATTTTTATGCAGGACAGTGATAAAAGCACACCTCAAAATCAAAATGATTCACTGACCACCGAAGTAAGGTTTTGCCATGGCCACCCTAGTCCCCTGATCTAAACCCCATAGAAAACCTGTGGGATGAGCTGAAGAGGAGAGTCCACATTGTGGACCTCAGAATCTAAAGCATCTGGAGGGGTTCTGTATCAGGGAATAGTCTCATAATCCTTTGCCGTGAGTTCTCCAAGATCATTAAGCGTTAGAGAAGACTCAGAGCTGTTCTTTGCAAAAGAAGGCTGGACAAAGTATCAAATAAAGGGGTGCTGATAATTGTGGCACATACAGATTTGAGAAAAATGTTTATCTCCTGATAAGATTTAGATTTTTTTCAACCATTAGTAAGATGTTTGTTTTCTTAGTGAAAGATCTCTTCATTTTTTAAAAGTGTTTTGTAGTGTTCAGACCAAACTGCACATAGCTTGCGGTATATAAACTAAAATCAGGTTATCCAAGCGGTTCTAAAAACAAACCCATTGAATTAAATGATCATATGAGATATGACAGAGTAATGTACAGTTAAATTCTTCGTCATTTATTTGTCACTGTTAAGAAGGAAGCTTACTCTGTTGGCCTGCACTGGTTGCATAAAAATAGTAGTAAGCTGAAAAGCAATACATTCTGTCCCACTGTGGCATGATATGAGGTTACAGCCTACAGCTGACAGCAGTACAGTCATCATCCTGTATATTCCATTACACTATTCAGGTGAAACCAAAACCAATCACATTAAAAACAATACAGGTTAAAATACCCCAACAACCAGTGCAACAGTTCCAGCACAACCCCAATAAAGACGACATCAAATTGGACGGCTGAGAGACGTACATAACAAAGATGAAGAAAACCACCAGAAAAAGAACCAACTCCATATTAATGCCTATGGATTTAGAATGAGTCCTCTTCAAGACCAGGCCTTAATTAGTCTTTATCTCCTTCTGGTACAGATTACTGCAAAAATACAAAAAGAGAATTTCACACGCAAAAATCATAATAAAATACCTCCTCTTCCACTTACAAACACAAATGTAGTATGGACTGGAAGTTTCTGGCCCACTCCGAATGAATCGGAGCTCACTCTCAATTAATCCACCCAACGCTCACTCTCAATTAATCCACCCAACGCTCACTCTCATTTGATCCACCCAACGCTCTCTCTCATTTAATCCACCCAACACTCACTCTCATTTAATCCACCCAACACTCACTCTCATTTAATCCACCCAACGCTCACTCTCATTTAATCCACCCAACGCTCACTCTCAATGAATCCACCCAACGCTCACTCTCAATGAATCCACCCAACTCTCTCTCTCATTTAATCCACCCAACGCTCGCTCTCATTTAATCCACCCAACGCTCGCTCTCATTTAATCCACCCAACGCTCACTCTCATTTAATCCACCCAACGCTCTCTCTCATTTAATCCACTCAACGCTCGCTCTCATTTAATCCACCCAACGCTCTCTCTCATTTAATCCACCCAACGCTCACTCTCATTTAATCCACCCAACGCTCACTCTCATTTGATCCACCCAACGCTCTCTCTCATTTAATCCACCCAACACTCACTCTCATTTAATCCACCCAACGCTCACTCTCATTTAATCCACCCAACGCTCACTCTCATTTAATCCACCCAACGCTCACTCTCAATGAATCCACCCAACTCTCTCTCTCATTTAATCCACCCAACGCTCACTCTCAATGAATCCACCCAACTCTCTCTCATTTAATCCACCCAACGCTCGCTCTCATTTAATCCACCCAACGCTCACTCTCATTTAATCCACCCAACGCTCTCTCTCATTTAATCCACCCAACGCTCACTCTTATTTAATCTACCCAACACTCACTCTCATTTAATCCACCCAACGCTCACTCTCATTTAATCCACCCAACGCTCTCTCTCATTTAATCCACCCAACGCTCTCTCTCATTTAATCCACCCAACGCTCTCTCTCATTTAATCCACCCAACGCTCACTCTCATTTAATCCACCCAACGCTCACTCTCAATGAATCCACCCAACTCTCTCTCTCATTTAATCCACCCAACGCTCACTCTCAATGAATCCACCCAACTCTCTCTCTCATTTAATCCACCCAACGCTCGCTCTCATTTAATCCACCCAACGCTCACTCTCATTTAATCCACTCAACGCTCACTCTCATTTAATCCACCCAACGCTCACTCTTATTTAATCTACCCAACACTCTCTCTCATTTAATCCACCCAACGCTCACTCTCAATGAATCCACCCAACTCTCTCTCTCATTTAATCCACCCAACGCTCACTCTCATTTAATCCACCCAACGCTCACTCTCATTTAATCCACCCAACGCTCACTCTCATTTAATCCACCCAACGCTCACTCTCATTTAATCCACCCAACTCTCTCTCTCATTTAATCCACCCAACGCTCACTCTTATTTAATCTACCCAACACTCTCTCTCATTTAATCCACCCAACGCTCACTCTCAATGAATCCACCCAACTCTCTCTCTCATTTAATCCACCCAATGCTCACTCTCATTTAATCCACCCAACGCTCACTCTCATTTAATCCACCCAACGCTCACTCTCAATGAATCCACCCAACTCTCTCTCTCTCATTTAATCCACCCAACGCTCACTCTCAATGAATCCACCCAACTCTCTCTCTCATTTAATCCACCCAACGCTCGCTCTCATTTAATCCACCCAACGCTCACTCTCATTTAATCCACCCAACGCTCACTCTTATTTAATCTACCCAACACTCTCTCTCATTTAATCCACCCAACGCTCACTCTCAATGAATCCACCCAACTCTCTCTCTCATTTAATCCACCCAACGCTCACTCTCATTTAATCCACCCAACGCTCACTCTCATTTAATCCACCCAACGCTCACTCTCATTTAATCCACCCAACTCTCTCTCTCATTTAATCCACCCAACGCTCACTCTTATTTAATCTACCCAACACTCTCTCTCATTTAATCCACCCAACGCTCGCTCTCATTTAATCCACCCAACGCTCACTCTCATTTAATCCACCCAACGCTCTCTCTCATTTAATCCACCCAACGCTCACTCTTATTTAATCTACCCAACACTCACTCTCATTTAATCCACCCAACGCTCACTCTCATTTAATCCACCCAACGCTCTCTCTCATTTAATCCACCCAACGCTCTCTCTCATTTAATCCACCCAACGCTCTCTCTCATTTAATCCACCCAACACTCACTCTCATTTAATCCACCCAACGCTCACTCTCATTTAATCCACCCAACGCTCACTCTCATTTAATCCACCCAACGCTCACTCTCAATGAATCCACCCAACTCTCTCTCTCATTTAATCCACCCAACGCTCACTCTCAATGAATCCACCCAACTCTCTCTCTCATTTAATCCACCCAACGCTCGCTCTCATTTAATCCACCCAACGCTCACTCTCATTTAATCCACCCAACGCTCTCTCTCATTTAATCCACCCAACGCTCACTCTCATTTAATCTACCCAACACTCTCTCTCATTTAATCCACCCAACGCTCACTCTCAATGAATCCACCCAACTCTCTCTCTCATTTAATCCACCCAACGCTCACTCTTATTTAATCTACCCAACACTCTCTCTCATTTAATCCACCCAACGCTCACTCTCAATGAATCCACCCAACTCTCTCTCTCATTTAATCCACCCAACGCTCACTCTCATTTAATCCACCCAACGCTCACTCTCATTTAATCCACCCAACGCTCACTCTCATTTAATCCACCCAACTCTCTCTCTCATTTAATCCACCCAACGCTCACTCTTATTTAATCTACCCAACACTCTCTCTCATTTAATCCACCCAACGCTCACTCTCAATGAATCCACCCAACTCTCTCTCTCATTTAATCCACCCAACGCTCACTCTCATTT